TCTTTGGTCATTTTTCAACAGTTTCATGTAAGGGGTGAAAATACGTTTCATAATAAACCTTCCTGCTAATATTAAGGCCACGCTAAGTATAATTTGTATGTCATTATAACATCTTCTGTTAGGTGCATACAGCCTCAACCTCCCACTTACACAAAGTTTACCCACTTGATCCTATTTCTCGCCAGGTCCTAAAGAGAGGGATTTGACACTGAGGTCCCTTCATTTTGTCTTTATTAATTAGCTCTCTTATTTCTATTTGATTAATAAGTAAATGGTGCTGTTAAATCGTCTTTCTTCCATCTCAGTTTTAAGCAAGGTCAAGCATATTTCTTCTTTTAATTATTTTGAGACATTAATCCATGCTTCTATTTATTCTTACCTGGGTCAGTCAGTCATACCTTCAGCTGGTGCTAAATGGGGCCGAAGAAAATCACATTTTAAAGAGTAAGTTTGGTATTTTTTAATCGGGGCCTCATTTTTTTAAAATGTTTTTGTGTCAAAGGACAACATGTTTTAAATTTGGCCCAGTATTGAGTAAAACAGTGAAACAGGCTACAACGTAATCCTGGCAGGCAATTGCACATCCTCAAAATATGTCCATTACAAGTGCTTGTTTTTTCCACTGCTCAGATTGTCGTAAGTGTCTGACAACACAAACCTGCAGGGATCACACAGCTCCAGGCTACAGTGGGCTCGCTCAATACTGGACCAGATTCAAAACTTCTTGTCTCCATTAGTCACTCTGACACAAAAAACACGGGAGAATATGGTCCAGGTTGAAAAAATACCATTTAAGTTTTAAACTGTATCTACTTTACTTTCTATGCAATTAGACTTTTTTTTTTTTTTAATTTACATGTAATTTGTTTAGCAGGATGCAATTTTATTTTTAAATGAACATTTTAAAATGATTATGATATGATGATACATTTTTATTACATTCACCCATTAGTGTGATACCTTCTCTCCAAAGATTTGGATTTATATAGATATACTGTATTTGTGTATGCATTATTCCACACACTTAAATACAATTTTGTCTCTTAGAGGGAACTATTGCACTGCATTTCTGTAAATACAAATGTAGGTGTGGTTCTTGGGATCCCACATTAAAACTTAAAAAGAAGACTTTGATAATCACTGGCCCTTATATGACCAAATTCTTATTTATTGCTCCGCTTTGACTGTTTTCCTGTTGCAACTCAGCTCTGGATCTTACCCATGTGAGAAGTGCTCCATAGCCTTGACATGGAGCCTCTCTCTGGGAGAGATGTCTTGGCTGTTGGCCAGGTCCACTGTTCGCCTCACAGCACTGGCCAGACGTTCATTCAGACGGGTTGAGCTCGCCGTTCCTGCCAGCTCCAGCCCCGTACTGATCACATGGCCCATAACTACAGGGAAAACAGATGATACTGATGTCTTGTTCTGGACTTTCTTACTTAACGGTTTACATGAAAATCAAATGCTCCTGTAATTTTTTTCCTTTTGATGCGAAACCAGATATGTTGAGGGGCACCTTCATGTAACTGTCTTTACTGTTTAAGCTAGGCCTTGCAATTTCTGTTGGTGTTTAAAAAGAGATGGAGTTAACATTAAAAGGTTTTCATTCCCGCTGTGTGCCCTCAGGATAATATGAGCTGGCTCACCAGTCATTCACTGTGTATTTTGACTTCAAACAGAATGTTTATTCCAGTCAGGAATTACACATTAATGCAATGGTGCAGACATTTTGAGGGGCTGTTGCTCTAACCTGAAAAAAAGTAATAAAAGTTTGAAAGGTAATGAAAGGTGATTTCATTTGGTTTAGCTCTTATTCACAAAGCCACAACAAGCAAAAAAATGAAAAATAAATTCTCCAGAGGGGGCAGCACAGCCAAAGAGGGCAAACGGACTGTTGCTCTTGCAACTCTTTCTACATATTAGTTGACAAGTACTTCATTTTCTATCAAGGCTGTGAGAGGTTAAACAAGAACATCAGCAAAGACACTTGTGTTTTATTTATATATACAGACCTGATGTATCCATTGCTTATGATTCATTGATTGATTTGCATGAACAACCATCAAACACTTGATGAGACATCAAACTGGGTGTACCGTGACAAACAGCAGCATCTAAACAGTTAGAATCGCTTACTTTAACAGACAGGTACTGATCAACCACTGCCTCGTGATCTCAGGTCAATGCTTTGTGGTGAATAACTGACAGCACAGGAAGTCATTGCTAAACATCAAAGGCTTCACCATATTAGGCAGACGCATTAGCAGACATTTTGGCTCGGCTTGGCAGAAAAGGCACAGGTGTGAATAACATTAACAACACCACAGTTCTATCGACAGACCATTTTCACAGCAGCCATGTTGACATGAAATAGGAGGGTAAAAACAGGTGTTAATGATACTAATTAAAAGGTTCTGTTCCATTTAGTTTAGCAGAGCCTTTCCGGTTTGACCTGAATGGAACAGAACCTTAATTCTGATGTTTAGACTAGATAGTTAAGAAGAGCCCTACACACCCTTCTTTATGACCTTGTTCTCTTGGGTACAAGACTGTTGGAAAGATTGTGTGTCAACCAAACAAACTCCATGGCACCAGTGTTGTGTGGAGTCTGTTTTTAAGTACCTGTATTTTAACGGTTTAATATATTCATTTTTATGACAGTGGAGACTAATGAGTGTTTATTTATTCAGCAAAATAAAGACTGACCTGAAAGTACAATTTCTTTTCATCAACCTTGAACTCCCCTATGAAAAGGACTTTTGAGGAACGGACCTCTTCAGTGTTTATTTAAAGTACAGAGGAGGGTCACAGTCGTTTTTAATTAGGTTATTTCTGCACTGGATAAATTTAGCACCGTTATCTTTTTTTTTTATTCATATAACCTTTAACATTGATTTTGTTGTTGTCTCCTTTTATACGTTTTTAACTCTTCTGCTGCCTCCTTTCCAGGTCTACTCTGAGTTTCCACATCTCACCAGGACATACCAGGTTAAGTAAAAGAAAGAAAATAAATAAATAAATAATGTTTGTCCACATACTTACCAAAGTCAGGGTCAGCTGCCTTGATAGCAGAAATGCATCCTTCAAATCCTCCCAAGGTTTCATCATTCCGCCACTTCACATACTACAATATTGAAATGGTGTTAATTGTAGTTTTTTGTTTTGACTGATATATACACAAGAGTCTGCAGACAGTATCACAGTGTGTACATACTGTAACGTTATGCATATGGGGGAGGGAGAGGTGCTGTATATGGGTGCTGAGTAGGCTACCTGGGTGAGTATGGCGTCGTATAGTTTGCAAGCCTCATTACTGGTGGTGGACAGTGGAAGACCCTCTGCCCTCCACGCCTGTATGGGACAGAGGTATTAGGACGCATTAGGACATTCACACACAGCCCTTCAGCTCTTTGCCCTGTGACAAGTGTTCAGCCCACTCAGCAAACGGTTTAATATCAAAGAAAAACGGTATGTTCCCGAAGAAGACAACCCGAAGAGGTTCCTAATTATCCACCGACATGACTCTTAATGTCTCCGCAGGTTGTGTTTATCCCACATCGCCATATTCTCGCTGCAACAGTTCACTGTCAGTCACATTAAACAACACGTATCTAACGTTACCACAATAAACAGTAATGTCGGTTCCTTTCTCATGCCATTCTTTGGCAAAAGGTTTATATATTTTTAAAGCTACTTCTTTCTGAAGCCCCATCACTGACCTGACAGTCTCTGAAACTTGCAGTACTCATGTTTGTGGTGAAACTTGAACCTCTTCGGACGGTCCAATTTCCTGGAGCTGAGTCAAGTTTATTAAAGACAAAAGACCGGAAGTCAACTGTACTTGAATTGCTTTCAAAATAAGTGTATGAACTATATATATTTCAAAGTAATATGTATTTTCACTCATAAACTTTTTCATGTGTACAATTTTAATGGTAGAGAAGGATAATGGACACAATTCTGCGTTGTTAACTCGTTATTATAATACCCATCTGTAGATTTTTTAAGGTTAAAGGGTTATTCCACTTATTTTCAACAGCCTTGTTTACTCAGCTTGTGATCTCGGCTTGGGGCTTGAACACATTGTCACATTGTTAACAGAAATCATGGCCAAATACCAGGCAGGGAGGTATTATGAGAAATGCAGAATTCCATGTTTTTGAAGCTTGCTGCCAAGGATTAAAAGTCTGTTTTTCTAAACCTCTGCTGCTTAAATTTCAACCATTTTTTCTTTATTCTGTCTCCTGCGAGCGACACTAAATCGCTGCACTACTTCCTAGTTTATCAAGTATTTCTCAAAATATATATAATACACCGCTGTTCAAAAGGTTGGAATCATACATCTGAAATAGTTTTGGCCCCAAAAGAATAATTAAATTATAAAAAAAATGTCCATTATTCAATGTCCACAATTCACAAAGTGTTGCGCGTTCTGCCCTTTCAGTTGTCAGTCTGTTTGAACACTTGAACAATATTTTCTTCTTCTTTCTCTTTGTACAAAAGATCTTTACAAACCCTTCTCACAAAATAAATAATATTTATAAAGAAGATGAAATATAGAGGAGTCATCTCAGCCATCTGACTGTACCGAATCAAGCTTTTGTGGCAGGTGATTCCCAACTTTTGAACTTGTACATAATGCTACAAATTATATATGCTACTACATTTCTAAACCACTGGAGCCTGACTGTATTATATAATCCACCTACACACATTGGGGTTTACATTTAATCTCCTTGTTACAGTACGTCGTGTTCTCTGCATAAAACACACAGATTTTAGCTGAATCATTTATTAAGTGAGAACTGGTAATGGCAGTGGAGAGAAAAGGTAAGAACTCTAGCTGGCTAGGACCAAAAAAAAGTAGGCAGAAATCAGCCAAAAATGTAAGCAATTGTAAGCTAAAACAGACAGTTTTAGTTCAAAATAGTTCATAATGGTTAGCTGAAACTTATTCATAACCATAACCTATACAAAAATGAGATTTTAGTGGACAAACGTTTAAAAGAACAACTGCATTGTTTTATTGCCATTTTCAGCATACATCCAACACCCCTATGCATTTTAGCTACATGAAGCATTTACATTACAAGTTATGTGTCGACAGAACAGTTTAAAAATTAGGATTCATTTTCTTTACATATAATACAGTTTGCACACATGTTAATAAATATCAATACAATCATGTCAAACTTATCACACACCATCTACAACAACCTTTAAAATTATGTAACCTTTTTTTATTCACAGCTCATACCAAGTCATAAATATAGCCTCTAGTCTTTCTGTGCTGTCAAACAGTCACCACCTGGATTTTTACAGTTGTCGAAAAGGCTATTAGATTTGACTGCCCACCAGATAAACAATAACGCTTGCACAAGTTGCTCATAAAGCGCTTTGCATTTCTCCAGCGCCCCATTTAAAATCATCTATTTGTTTGTTTGGGAACCTGCTGTAAAAAAAGGTATTTAAAAAAAAAAAAAAAGACCAGTAAAAATCTCGAGCTCCAGTGGGACACATGGATGTGATTACTTCCAAAAGACAAGTCATCAACTCAGAAAAATAAAATATAACTTGTGAATGAAAATGAAAAAGGCATCTTGTTCAAGGGTAAAGTGTTAACACTGCCATAGAGTGATGTAAGGGTTGTGTAGTGTGTAAGTTCTTGTGGTGTACTCCTTAGATATTGCAACATATCCACCAACAGAGACAGTCCTGTGGCACAAAATGAGTAATGTGAGTTACGCTGATCCCCCATTAATGTGAAATCGGCTTCATTAATAATAACATCCCGAGGTTAACGCACGTGGGAGGAAACTTATCAGAACGTGGAGAAACAGTTCCTTCCAAGATGAAACCTTTTAACAGTTGGTTAACTTCGCTCCTGTATACCACCAGTAGGTAACATAAACATGGACAAATACTTGTAAACGTCAACTGTCAGTGTGATATTAAGTGATGTCAGCATGTCACGGAGAGGCCCATCATTATCCAGGCATATGAAATGTTTAATGCTCATATTTAGTCTAGTTTAGTCTGTATTCTATGACCTAGCTATTAAAGACAAGGTTAAGTTCTTCTATTTGCCTGCAGCCTCCATTCCTGACATGCAATGGCTTATGGGTGCACAGGAGTTATGCACAAGTGCAAGATAATGAGATTCTGGGCACTCTCCTGTGAATGCAAAACTAACAAAAACAAGTTTATCTGTTAAAAGCAAACAAAGATAATAAATACATAAAAAAAAAAAAAACATGACCATATTTAATGGATTCTTAGTGTTGACTCACTAAACAGAGGGGAGAAAAAAGAGGGATGTTGTCTTTGTGGTTCATTAGGATGCAGAGTCAGTCAGTTTGTCACTCGATTGAAAGGCAACTTCAGCAGAGGATGTCTTCCTGCAGTCAGACTGAAAAGGAGAATCTGAGATTGAGACCGGAGACACCACTCCAGCATTTAAACACACCTCTGTAGCAGTCCTTTTTCGGAAAAGAGAGGACCCTCATCCGCTGAAAATGTGACTTGTTCTACACAGCTATACACAAAAACACAATTCTTTACAATTCCTTTACATCAGCAGGACCAAACTGCATTCTTCCCTTTAGACAATCGAGAATGAAACAAGTCTTTAAGCATTCTCCCAAAGCCCCCCCCCCCCCCTTTCCCATCCCTGTTTGAGAGGATCCACTTCAAGGCTGGGATGATAAAGCTGTGAATGCACTCGCCTCTCCACCCACAGAGAGAGAGAACAAGCAAAACTGCAAAGTGATTAACTAGGACTGCCTTTGGGCAGGGGATATGTAAACGTTGCAGACCGCTTCAATGTCAGAGGCAGCCGTAGTGTTTGTGTGTTTGGGGGGGGGGTCTTTACACATTCACTGCTGCGGGTGTTCAGCAGATTATTCTGATCGAAGATGACCAATGCAGAAGCAGAGACCGTCTATCACAAGTCTTTTGTCCCAGGACTCCTCTTAAGCCCAGTTGAGGTTGAAGCCTTTGGAGAGCATGACTTCCTCCAGGTCCTTGTCCTCCTCTTTCTCCCGAAGCCTCTGCTCCTCCAGGAGGGCCACCAGGGAATCGCGCTGCTCCACCACCTCCAACATTTCATTCAGGATCTGCTTCTCTTGAGCGAGCTCCTTTTCTGTCTTCAGGTGGTCTGAGAGAGGCACAGGAGAGCAAGGAATTAAAGAGAGAGAACTATTCACACAGATCTAAACATTTAGAGCTAAAGGGACTCGGCTGTTAGTTAATTAACACTCCTGCATTCACCTTCCACTGCCATTCGCTCCCTGAGTTCCTGCTGCAGTCGGCTCTGTCGGTCCTCCAGCTCCAGCTCTCTGGCACTGGGGGAAAGAAAGAAAGAAAGAAAGAAAGAAAGAAAGAAAGAAAGAAAGAAAGAAAAAAAACAGATGGACGAGCTAAGTTTGTTTCACTGTTGAATTTATAGCTTTCAACATTTTGTTTTTTTGGCTTAATTTTCATTTATCTAAGCTAAATTATTAGTCGTTCCAAAAATGAACAGAAAGATGAATAGTTCATTTAATTAGTAACTGATCACGAGAGAACAATGGATAATTTAACGACTTGTCAGAATGTCAAGTCTTTTCCCTACTTGGATTGTAAATGTGATTACATATGATATCATATTAATATGATGAAAAATGATTATGACTTCATAGGTGCTAACAGTGATTACAAACTGATGTAATATTAATATTGGTCATAAAAATTAAGAGGTAATAAGTCAGTATTATTTTATCATCGTTATAGTTTATAATTGCCTGTACTTGGTGAAATATTATTACATCATCAGGGAATTTATAACAGCTATTACAGGTTTAATTATACCCATCAATCATTCCTCATGACTTTGGTGATCCCTTGACGTGTCCCTATAGCGCCAACCACAGGTGAAATGTTTTACTTGGCCAAGACTTGAGTTCAAAGGAGGATACCTTTAAAATGAACCACCCAATTCCCATCAGCCTCAGCTGTATGTTGAGAATAGTGCTAAAACAGCATGCTTACCATATGCATGTTATCAAGAAATTCTGAGCAGTAGGCTCAAACCCCAGCTGAGCCTCACAAAAAAATAGCTGAAGGTAATGAATGTTCATCTTTTTTTAATAATCTTTTTATTGTTTAGGGCAGGGTAAAATGACTGGATGGTAATATCAGGAGATAAATGTTAATGTTGATCAAGTACATCTTAGTATGACTATACTGTAGATATCTCCTTGTTTTATAGCCATTTTTACTAAACTCTGAATAGCTGTAATTCAGAAATCCAGAAATTGTCATTTGATACAAACACATTTACCCACCTGAGAATCTAAAAAATACAATGAATCATTTCCAACTAGCTGCTTGGGGACTGGGGAGTTGGCATAGCAACCAATAACCTAAGCAATCCTTCTTCGAAATGAAAAGCACCTTTTGACGAATCAGTCCCCCAACTGGCTTATCCATCTCGGAGTAATGTACTTACAATATCATGAGTTCTGACTCATAGCGGACCAAGGCATTTTTCTCCTGCACCAGCTTGAACCACTCTTGCATTAGCTTGGGATCGTCCTTCTTGCCCATGCCTGGAGGAGAGGAGGAAGCACACAGTGGGAGTAAGAGACCAGGTGGCTGGGAGATGACACTGACTGATGTCACACAGACAAGGACTGACACAGGCAATGCAATGACAGCCAAGCCAGGATGTCCTCGCTGAGGGATGGTGAGGTGGAAGGATGGACTCGACACCAACGTGGTCAGTCACGCCATACTTAAAAGATGGCACACAGAAGATGGCGTGGAGCTACTGTAACAGGTTTCAACTTTGGCAAGTGCATACACGCACACACATCCCACACACACGCTCAAACAGACAGTACCTGTTGTTGCAAAGTTGAGAGTTTGTGTTACCCAGTTTGGATTTTGTGTGAGATGTAGCCGCTCTTTGGGAGCAACTACCTCCCCTCCTATCAGTTTTTTATTTTTTCCGAGTGGGTGGGTAATGAGAAAAAACACAAACACACCAATCAGTAGCTAAGACATTGCAGAGCAGTAAACCCAAGGACCTATGGAAATTCTTCATCCTCCCCTGCCCACATATTGATCCACCAGTAGAAATAAAATCATTTTTAGATCCCATCCATGCTGAGCAGTGTGAGGGTAAACGAAAAAATGCTTGAAATATTCCGCTTTCTTTACATATTCAATTACAAGGTCAAATATTCATGGGATGACTTATCATTGAGACCAATAGCAAAGTGCACACTCCTCTATAAAGTCTGCCTCGGGGTAGAGCGTGTCCGGGTGCTGCTGGCATCATGCATTGTAGTTGTGCAATTTTTATAATCAGCACAATCAGTCAGAGCGCGGAACAGCTGCACACCTCTCCCTGCTAGAAGAGGAGACCAGTCTACGAGGCATGCTTAGAAAGGTCTGCTGCTGGGGCGATGCATCCTTTTCATTTATCTGACTGCAGCAGGTGGAGCCAAGCGGTTTCAAGGAAACACCTGAAGGCAAACCTCAATGCAGCGTGACACACTTAGCTGGGGAACAGGAGGCTCTTGCAAAATGGAAAGGAAAAACATTGTACACACATAAATCGCATGGTTGTGGTCTCGGGGGCTGGTTTTTGCTAATTAACAGAAAAGGGACAGAAGAGGCAAAGCTGAAGGAGAGCTGCACACACTGGAGAGGAATACAACATGTGGAGACAAAGGAGGAATTGTAAAAGCAGCTGAGTTTCCAAACCTATCCTGTTAATGCGTGTTTTTCCCTTTCCTCCTACACTATTTCAACCTGTTCCACCGCCACCAACCCTCAGCCCAAGGCTCCGAACACAAAAGAAAGGAAGAGCCACCGGTACAGGGCAGAAACAGCAATAAAAGGAACAAGAAATCAGATCGCACACAAACACAAAAACATGTTTCTTTACACGGATTAGAAGCTCAGGCAAAATTTCCACTCACATGTGTTAGATGTGGGAACAAACCAGATGACCCATAAATGTTTTAAGACTTGTTTTGTGTAAGACTTGAATATTTATAACAAATCCTCACACCATGCAAGTTTCCCACTCCTTGAACCACAAACTTGCCCGCGAGCTAGCCACGTGCCAGGTGTTCATCGCTCGGTTTTATTATCATATAATGATTACATGACGATTTAAACTTTAATTCAAATGGTAAGAGGCAAAATTCCAAAAAACAACTGCAAAAATGGACACTGCAACAGACTATGCAGCTTTACGATTCATTTCAGCTAAACAGAAAACAGAACACATGCTGTTGTTTAAAGACACACTGCAGCAGAGTAGTTTCCCCTTTTGAGTGAATGCAGCTACTTAGAAAAACAGGGAAATGGATCTTTTCCCCACCTCCATTATCTCAAACACTGTGCTTGACAGAATATTACAATTGCATTACTGCAACACAGTATATGCATCAGTATGTATTCTGCTGATCTAACTGAAGGTTTTCTTGCTAAGCTACAACTGACCATTAGTTAAATCCTGCCCCCTAACAGTGACTGGCCAATCACATCTTAGCAACTGTAACTAGGCACAGCGGCAAGCGTATTCTGATTAGACCGATGAAAAAGTAGCCCAATCAAAGCCTAGAACCTTTCATTACAGAGCTACGACCAATAATAGTTGAATAAGAAAATATTAATTTTTGTGGTTGCCAGTCAGTCAATTACTGCGTGTAATTACCTGCCTAATATACTATGCTATATTACGCTAAACAATAAGAGCCAAAGTGTCTGCTTGAATGTAAGCTGCAAACATTAGCATGCCCAGCTAAGTAGCTTATTACTTAAAAGTAATTGAATCCTTTTTCTAAGTCAAGGGGCAATTTTCATAAGCCATCTACATCATTTTGAGGGATTCCAGGTTAGCCCTAAAAATCCCCGTTGAGGCCTGGAACATCAACACTGTCGGAGCCAAGGTGCCAGTATCCTACATTAGAGTGTAAAGTAACATTATTGGCATTAGCTTCTACATAAATTAACTCTGTGTACTGTTATGGTAAGCAAATATTTTAAAAAACGATCAACTGACCAGTACTTTTAACAGCATACATTCTGACGCAGTGATCCAAATTGTGATGAAATTAATATCTGGAGCGTTTTTGATTCATTTCCTCATGATCAGTGCCTTGGGAAGTTTTGGGAACATGTCTGGGGAAATCTACTGAGCCTGATCACACACAAATGGCGAGGACAGGAAGAGGAGGAGGACCGGTTGGGAGGATGATGGGGAGGGGCGCAATGGGGATAGCCCGGTTCTGGAGATCCATACGGTTGCCATGGTAACCCGCCACAACCGTCAGCAGAGGCGGCGAGGTTACGTTACCTTCGGGGGAACAGCAGGGGCAGAAGGAGAGAGGTCTTCGGCGTGGCATCCCCACAAAGGGCTCAACTTCCACAAGACAGAGGGAAAGAGTGTGAGGGAGTGACGTAAAGGGATGCATCGGTGGGTGAGAGAGAAATAATGGTGGAAATAATGCAGGAGGAAGAGCAGAGATATCACAGAGAAAGAAAAACAGAAGAGGACACATAGTGTGGGTGGAGGGGGAAGGAGAAGGGTGAGGAGGAGAAAGAGGGGAGTGATGAGTGAGAAAAGAACATCGAGGAGAAAATCAAAAGAGGGCAGGACCACAGTGAAAGGGAGAGGACAAATCACCTAGAGAAAGGAGGTGGGAGAGATAAGCTGTGTGGTGTGAGGGATGAAAAAAGGGGTAAAAATAGGAAACTGAAACAAGAGCAGACAGAAAACTTGGAGCACAGAAAGGGAAAATAATCCTGCTGTTTGATCCTGCATCTGTAGTTCTTCAGATAATCTTCAGTTAGGCAACAGCACCCTATGACAGTCGAAAGAGCGAATAGCCTACACATATGGCCAGTGTTTATCACAGTACACAAAATGATTTAATCCCATTATTAAAGCCATTACTGATCACCAGGAGATCCATCTCCCTCACAGATGCAGATAATTGCTTCTTCTTTTAAGATGTTTTAGCCTGTCCTTGTAAACACTACTTGAACGTGTTTAGACCACCCGGCACAATTTGTTACCAGCGTGGTGACTTTTGAAGTTGAGCTACTTTTGAAGTGCAAATTAGGATGCCCGCTAAACAGTTTTCTCACAAAAGTAAGATCTTTGATGATGGATGCTACCCCAATAAACCCCAGAATAAAGATTCTAAAATAAGTGTAAAATGAAGAGATGAAGATAACTGAGGGAAACAGTTTGTATCATTACATGACACAACTAGGAGGCAGACACAGGCTCTGTTTACACCTGGCACTAATATAAGTCTTGGGTGATCCAATCACAAGTGGACAGCTCTAAGTACATCAGTTGATACTTGGCATTAGAATGCGCCTAGAGTGACCCTTTGTGATCAGGTTTCACTTCCCAAATGCGTTGTTTTTTTAGTGGTGGGAGGCAGAAATGCCCTTCCTGTCCCTAGTCTGCCGGAAATTAAGACTTAAGAAGCAGCAGAAGAAGAAGGAGTAGTTTGATATTAATAATCCAGTTTTCGTTTCTCCAAGTCTTCAGCCCAAATGAAAATCAGACAGCGTGTTTCTTGTGTACTCCATCCATAAAACTCTGTATTACCTGATGTTGTGGCTTCTTCTTGTTGTTAAGCGCTTTAATATGACACTGTTAATGTACAAATGAGTACGTACGTCTGTTTTAGAGGATGTCAGTTGAGTCGCTGTTCCTTTAGTGTAGTCCAGGACACATTTGTGTATACACTGCTAAAAGAATGTGGCCATATGCGGCCAAGACCATCTCCGAAGCGATCGGATTGGCAATGCATCTTGGGTGCACACATACACTTGGAGCTGTCAAGTTGTGATTGGATCACCCATGATAAACAGGCCCACAGTGTTCTCAGACTGGTGGATAAAGGGGCTGGGGGAATGAAATCCCAGATAAGCACAACAAGGGACTATCACAGAAAAAATTCTGTTAGGAAAACTGCAGTTTAGAATATATGATTTGGACAGATCTATGTCCTAATACATTTTTTATGGCTCTGACAAATCAAATCAAGTCATGCAAATATCGTTATGAAATGCAGTGTGAGCACTTAACAGTAAACCAGTAAATCCTAAAATGCTTAATTGTATAATCAGTGAAGTAGAGGATTGAAATGATAAGAAAAATTTGATCAAGCAGAGTACAGAGTTTTTGATGCTGGCTTTAGTTTTGGTGCACCCTGCAGGGCTCAAATACAGCCCTGCTGAGCAAATATACACTTTACAGCCTAGTATTCAGTCAAAATGCTACAATTACCCATCACGGTGAAACACGATAAGTATAGAGAAAAAAGGATTAATGGAAAGCTTTCAGCAGGCAGGAATCCTCCTCTATAACACATTCAGAACACTACAGACACACTGCATCCAGTTTCAAAGATTCACAGTTTTTAGCATTCACACATACTACATGGAATAAACTGCCTGCATCAACTCAGAAATATGAAAACAAGTTGCCTCATGCCCCTGCAAGAACCCTGGTCGAACCCGTTACGTTGGAAAACCTTTGTGTGCGTATATTTATCTTTACATCGAAACTCCACGCAATCTCCCGTCTGATGAGTGACAAAAACCAGCAGGACAAAACCACAGAGAAGCACAGGCCCATGCTCAAACATGTGGAAATGCACCTTTTTCTCAATCCTGAAACATGGCTTTCTAACAAAAGCCGGCTTCCTTCACAGCAGACGTCAGGAGGAAAAAAGATGCATTCCACTCATATTCAAACAAAGTCCAACAGCCAACAAGATAACAGATACCACGAGACGTCTCACCCAGACACAGTGGACACTTATTGTTGACTAATCACAGTTAGACATAGAAGGGCAAAGGGTCGCAACATTGCCTATTAGCACACACACACGCACACGCACACACACTCGGGGAGTTATGCAACTGAGCAGGTATGAGAAAGTCAGGGGAGCCATTGCTGGGACTAGAGGACAGAACTACAGCAGCACAGAGCTCTGAGGGGAAGCTAACAGCCATGCCAGCAGTTTAGTGTGAGTCAGTCCAGGGCAGGTTATACAATACTTTCACAGTCTATTTGTATGTGTGTGTTGGGGAGGGGGTTCTGTGTTTGTAAATGTGTGCATACTGCACAACACGTGTCCATTTTGTATGGTAATACAAATGGTAAGGTATGACGATGTACTTCTCCTTCATCTCAGATCATTTTAGTAGAACAAAAATTTGAATATCAAAATTGAAATACGGTGTAATACAATTAGAAAGACAAACAGGTACATAGATACAATAATACCCCAGTTGTTTCACTGTGTTGTGTTCTTTGTAATAATTTCTTTTAAGAATAAGCTGCTGTTGTTGTTCTATATTTTCTATATTGTCAACAAATTCCATTAAAAGACAAAAACCAATAGTGTGTTTGTCTGTCTCTACACATTTCTTTACTTCCCTGTCTGTAGCTCAAGCCCATTGACTTCTACTAAAGATGAACACTTGAAAAAGCTGGTCACGTATAGTTTTTAAAAAAAAACATAAAATGAATACCTAAACCAGCTGGTCTCTGTAGTCTTCTAGCAAACACTACAGAAACAGAGTAAGTATTTGTTGGGGACTATTTTCGGCTGCGGAATCATACACATTTGATGCTCTGGGTATAGCAGCAGGACAGGGTAAAAGTGATTGACTTAAGCTAAACTACAGTGCCTCTGTGTTCACTCAGGGCAACAAAATCTATTGCACAGATCGAAGTTATATAAGGCATGGTTTAATGGTTAGTAGGACCAGTTCATTGTTGGTTATAGCTTTTTCATGGGATTTGCTCAAATAAATACAGAACATCACCAGCCTTAATCTTAAAATCAGAATCCAACTTTTACATTGTTTTCCTATCTCAACCATCATGCTGCTACTTTTCATGATTTTGGTTAAAAACTATATATTAATGAATATGTAAAGGAATATTTAATGAGCATGGGCTCTATGTAGTGTTTTCATTGTCTATTCTTTATTTTGTTGTCTCTGTTGGAGCGGTCCTCAGTGTTTCTGTGCAGTGTGTCTTTGAAAGCAAGAATGTATACTGCTGTTTGGATTTCAGTCTCTGCAATATGTTGCTGTTTGTATCTCTACTGCAGTTTGCATTGTGCAGTTAGCATGCTGAGGAGTGACAAATAAAAGTTACTCATTAATTCATTCATTTATCATTCATAAGTTTACTGAGATCAAAGACGATCTTAAGAGGACAGCATGAGGCCGAGTGTCTGATCTCTGTTTGATGTAAAGAGTGTCTGAACTAGAAACCCAGTGAGGGTGGTGGGAGAAGGAAGGAGGGAGTGGGGGAGTTAAAGGAGCAGAAAGTATTGCAATGAGGCTAACAGCCAGCCAGCTAGCAAATCAGCCAGCCAGCCAGTCAGCCATTCAAGGTAGATATGAGGGGGTACAAAGCTCAAGTAGTTTAAAAGAAGGGGGTAAAGGACAGATTGGGTTAGCCATTAGGTTAGTTTAAAGCGACAGATTTGAAATACATACCGCCCAGATGCAAGTCCAGGATTTCACTGTAATTAGAATCTCCCCAATAGTCTACAATGACAGGGATATATTAGAGATAGGAGTTATTTTTCACAGCCCCAAACTGGGCACACAAACACACACAAAATTCTCCAACAACAGCAAGTCATGCATGTACTTGCAAACATGTTCGTACACACACAGACACACACTGCAGCAACACTCAGAACAAAGAGAGTCCATCAGTACTCACCACAGTGCATAATGCAGTCAGGTTGTGCAATGCTACATGGCATTTCCCAAAATAATAAGAGACTGCAACATAGATTTGCTGTATTGCTGTTTACTGGCTCAGTCTGCTTAATGTCACACAAAGCCTCTAGTAATGTGTTGTGTGCTGACATGTCGAGGAAATCATTATTTTTGTACTGCGCGCATTTAATTTGACAAAATAAACAAGCTTTAATTTTCTCCAGTTCCATAAAATTCCAATCCATGTGCCACAGTGTCAGATTGCAATAATTGAATGATTTAATATTTTATCATTTCAGACTGAGCAGCTGAGTGTTTAGTGAGACTTTTGAGCACCACAGATAAAGTCAGAAACAACTCTGGATTGCTGTTACTTATTCACCAAAATGAAAAAGGATAGTAATGAGATCTCTGCATCAAATCACTCAGCCGCAGTAAATATTTGCAAAAAATATTTTAATAAAGAAGCTGTCAGCCTGCAAAGCAATTTATATTTGATTTCCTACATTCTGATTGCTTTAATAAAGTCTGAGTCTTGATCAGAGTACAGAAACTCTCCTCATTGAGAGGCAGTGAAGGAGACAAAAAACACATCCAGAATGAGCACACACAAATCTATGTCGGGGACACACATTCTCCTGATCGCATGCAGCCAGGACTGGCGATGGCGGACATGTTATGAACGAACAAAGACCAACATCTTCAGACATGGAGAACTGTTGCAGTGTGTCACCACAGATGGAGCCTACATAACAGTGTCACATGTCATTAATAAAAAAAAAATTTAAAAAAGAAGAAACTACAGTAAATCTAATACCTGATCTTCTTTTGTGCTGTTTGGGTAATGTATAAGTACCTTTATACAATCCTTTAAGAGAGTAGAGTAGTAAACAAGTTAAAACATAAACAATTGACTGGAGAGACAGCTGATGGAAAAGTTATTATTCTGTTGATGGGAAAATGGCCAAATTCAAGGGAATGTTCATCTGCGTGCATTCATTTGCATAATAAAAGCTTTTATTTAAATTATGTTACCAGCCCCATTAAGTAAATTAGGATGGAAATTGAATACACTGTCAACTCTATAAAGGATAACCTCAGTACCTTACTCGCATACAAAACTCACATCATGTAAATAATGTGTTATTGCTACGGAGCGCTCGCCATGCTTCACACGCTTATAAAACTGTACCGAATAATGAACTGCGCTGCTCCCCTAACAAATAATGTATTCTTCATCTTGGAAGTATATTGTCTGTGATAGTCCCTTGTCAAGAACAATTTGCGTTTATTACTTTGGAGAAACAAATATGACTTCCTGCACACAAATTTACGTGCCGAAATGGGCTTCAGTACAGCAGAATAAACAGTAAATGCAAACTGTGATTTCAACGCAATCTAAATGATCGGAGAGGGACAGGTTTTCTGAGGTAATGCAATTCCAGGGTTACGTCATCCTAATCATCGATATTTTTATTATTCCCTTCGGAGCTTTAGAAAAAGCTGAACTCATCTCATATAAAAGACAAAACATGGTCTCAGAGAGGCAGCGCTGACAGAAAGATTTAATTGTCATACGTACAGTAAATCACTTGTAAAATGTTAATAATACCAGAGTTATGTGTTATGAAACTTACTACACCCCTAAGTTCACTGAATACAGGCATTATGTCTATCTGCAGTAGCATTACTGATAGACCACGGCACATGAGATGGCCAGATTGATTTAAAAGAAAAATGTATGAAGGTATAAGGGACAAGCGGTTACCTGCTTCTCCTCTCAACGCTTTCTCCACAGCTACGCCCCTCTCCTCCAGCTGCCTCTGCTTCTCCTCCACCTGCTCCAACTGTCTCTGGATGATCTGAAAGGACATGCCGATTAGAGTCACATTATTAATGAAACATAAACACAGAGGCGCGCTTCCAATACAAACAACTTCAGTAATCGCACACGGGCGCACAGAATATTAACATCTACATTCCTCTAATTACAATTCATCTGTCCCAAAAGTTTCTAAGGGAGGTGACTGCAGAGGTTACAGTTTACCCTCATTAAAAATAAATGTCCCAGGGCGCAGTGGGAGTACTGCTAACTATAATTGAATTGATGTCTATGTACGTGAGCCTGTTCTGATGGACGAACATTATTTCAGGATTTTCACACACACAAAACATTAACATTTCATAGTTCTCCGCCCTTTGACCTACACCCCATGGAATAGGGGGCAATAATAGAAGGGATGCAGCAAAATCGAAATCAGTTCCTATTAATACTTTATCTTAATCACCAGATCATGAATATCTCGTGTTAATGGCTCGGTTATTGGAGGCCAAGTGAAGCTGCAGGTACAACAAGTCAAAATAACACTTCCACTAACTCTACCTGTTTTTAAAATGGAAAAAAAAAAAGTACAATTTAATAACAGAATAATATAATTAGATTAGAACTTAAACCCTTAAAAAATAATTTTAATCATAATTCAGTGTAATTCAATTATTAATTGCAGTCATTTTCTGTTATGATTGTTGGTACAGTTAATTGCGCAATAAATTAAGATGTCTTCAAGTGACACATGTAAAACCAGCTCAAACTAGCGTGAATGGGTCGTGCATGTCTCTAAATTACCATTCTTGTGGCCCCATGTTTAGTGGTGTGTTATATACAGTAGATGCATGATATGTGGGATTCTATTGGGCTGAATATAATTGTGCTCATCCTGATTAATGACAGTTGGTTCAATGTGGGTAAAGTAATGCAAGGGGGAGAATGAGAGATGTATAAAATGAGCGGAAACAGCTTCATTTAAAAGTTTTCTTTCTCCCTCAGCCTCTAACTTCCTAAGTGCTGAACTTTATCAGTGCCACGCAGCCAGAAAAGCTAATCAAGAAACACGGTTTGGGTTCTGCAAATAGCCACTAAAAAAGGAAGCAAAAAAAATTCAGGCCAGCTAACCACAGCTCTAGGAGAAGAGATTTTAGCTGTGGCTTAGTGCTGAGTCAGTGGACTGGGTGCCTGGCTGCAGAGTTACAACATCAATCACAGTGGATTTCCTAACCAAAGGATGAATCTGGCCGCACTCCAAGAGGGTTGAGTCACATTAGAGTGACCATATGGTAAGTAAAAAAAAAAAGAAAAAACAACAGGACAAACTGAGTAACAGTGACAAGAATACTGATGTAACCTATCTCTAGTATACAACTAAGAATACAGACATATACAGAGATGATCCAGTTCATTTTTAAAAAAGACAAGCATGACACAAAAAACAGTCTCATCGTTTGATGAAAACACACTTGTCTAACTGTTTGAAAGAGCTATTCAAGCACACAAACACTGCAAGGAAACCAAACAAAAAAAAACTAAACTACATTGTTCACCATGTTCACCATTTTAGATTAGTGTCTGACATTTGCTAAGTATTGCATAAGCTGAAAATTTGTCCTGATGATGGTGTTAAATGAAACGTTAGGGGAGAAATATGACAATTCATCGAGAGGAAAACATGAACTAAATGTCATGGCAATCCATCCAATAGTTGCTAAGATCTTTCAATCAAAAACACAAATGTCCACCTCAAGGTGGCGATGGAGGATAAAGGTCAGTTACCTGGGCTCTGTGCAGCCTCTTGAGTTCCTCCTGCTTGGCTTGTCGTCGTGCAGCTTTCTGGACCCGTCGTGTCAGCTTGGCATTCAGCTCTTCTTCTGTGTAGGTTTTCTGGTGTACAAGTAAAAAACATGGGTGAGGGAAGTCTCATTCACAAGCTGCTAGTATGTGGAGTTGACTCCAAGGGACCCTTGCCCTTTCATGGAAACTGAACACGAGAGGAGGAGGGAAACTCTGATCAGACCTTTTAGAAGGTGAGGGACAACACTGACTAGCACAATGTACTCTAGCTTCGGATATTTAAAACTTCACCACACGTCTACAGGCTTCTCTATAACACACAAACCATCTTAGAACACAATGTGACACATATATCAACTTCACTGCGGCTCTCGCGGTTATAATCCCTCTTCATATTATGACATATTCCGTAATGACAGGCAATGCAGAATGTGAATAAGCAGGGATGCTTTTCTTATTAGCTGACTTGTGAGGACATAAAAAGCTGGCATAAATCAGGAGAAAGAGAAGTTAATCCAGTAGCCAGACCGGAGGAAAAACAGGGCCGCAGTGACAGATAGGCAGGTTTAATATAAGACCAGTCAGAGAGGAACAGCCCCTGATATGTCAAGTGATGCAAAGGTATCATTGTGGCGAGAAAAAAGCGAGCCATGAGAGTCATATTTTGACAGAGTGGATATCCAGCAGTGAGTGAGTGAGCGCTGCGGTCAGACTGTCACATGCATCCAGAGAGGACGGTTAGTTTTAGGCCAGATGCACATAAGGTGTTATTACTGGTACATGCGCACAGAGCTGGGGGTGGGAGTGGTGGGGTTATCAATGGGAACGTATGTAATACTACCTTTGTGGCGTACGATCTCTTGAACGCCAGTGCGTGAGGGACATAAACAGACTTGGGGAAGACAAAACAAAAAGGGAGGAAACAAACATGATACAGATGATATGATTAAATGGGTTAATGATTATGTTAAATTAAATTAAATTTTTAAAAAAAAAGTAATAATTTAGCTGGTACAATCAAAACAGGCAATGTTAATATCCCACACCAAAATAAAAAAATGGCAGGGTGCAGCGACATTTTATACATCTATGTTAAACACACATTAGTCCAACAAAGCAACAATTACAGATCGTATTACAATAAAACAGATTTTCCAGATTCTAAGACCAAGGATTTCAGAGACCTGTCTTACCCTAAAGCAGTAAGACAGATTGATGATTTTCAATACTAGGTCTACAATGATCTCTACGATAATAAATCTAACACACTCACATATCTGGAAAACTATGAACACACAACAGTCACTTGAGACTAGTCTACACCATTCCTGTGGGCTCTTATTAATTTAAACTCGGCCTGGCAGGCATGATACAGCTTCAACCTCCTGGGTACTGTAGCCGCATAAAGTCCAAATTCAGATCGATGTGATTGAAGCATAATAACAAAATGTCATTTTATTCTTCATATGCATCGTCAAAATGAGAAGAAAACAAAATGGGAGTTTCTTAAATGTGTTTACAATGGGTAATGAATTCATGCCTCTGGCCCTGAACTCAACTGTATCTATCTAAACCACCAGAAACACACACACAGACTGAGCAGCAGCGGAGAAAATCATTTTGAATTTCAGCCTAACATAATGAATACAAATAGATTTTCTCCTATTACTCCTATTATAAAAATGTGGGTTTTGTTTGCTGAATGTCTGCATGGTCCTAATAAGATCCATGCCACCTGCATATTTAATGAATCCAGACTTCTGAAGAATTCACTCGTTTTGCAATTTTGCCAACGGATATCATTATGATGATGAAGCATTTAACATGGCATATTGTAGCGCTGAAGACCTTGACAATGTGTTTTTCTCATGATTTAGTTGCATGATTTGCTCTGATCATCTGATCTCGGAACAAATCATGCCTGACCTGATTATGTTGATATGAAATTCAAAATCATTTAACCCCGCTCTGCACAATACCTCCTCATCGCCTTTCTCCTTTTCTCGATCCGCCTTCTTTCCCAGCTCTCTTTCTTTATGCCTCTCTTTCACCCTCTTTCTTTCCTTTAACTCCCTCCTTTTCTCCTTCTCCAGTTTCTCCTCCTTTATTGCTTCCTTCTGCATGCCTGACACTAGGTCAAAGATGTCCGTGTGCCGCTGGGAGTGAAAGAAATTATTTAAGGGATATTTTTTTTTTAAAGTAAAACTGAAATGGACAATCAATAGATGAGGACACGTCTTGCCTCGCTAAACCTAGAACACAAAGGTCAAAAACTGTTCAGAATATTGAAAAGGTGATGAGTCACGTCCTCCTCCAAACCAGTCCTTGGACTTGCTGACTGGTCCAGATCTGAGCATCTGGTCTCCACTGATTGTCAGCAGATTTTCTGAAGACTAAAATGTCTCATCAAAAACGAAGCTATACATGACAAAGATGTGACGAGTCTAATTGCGTCTATTGTTACTCACATCTGCCTTCGACTTCTGGGAGGACCTTTCCAGAACATCATCACAGGACAGGTCTGAGTCCTCAGAGAAGCTCAAGTTTCTGCGTGATTTCAAGTCTGTAACAAACAAATCAAGAAATGTGTCATTTCTTTGTCATCAATATGACAAATATCACATTCGAAAACTCCACTGGATCGCCTTTCTTACCTGATGATCTCCCAAGAGGTGACGTTCTCTTCTTCCCAGAGTCCTGAGTGGTGGAACTCGAGGATGGCGTGCTCAGACATGATTTATCCTCCTTCTTCTTTTTGTCCTTTTTGTACCCTGAGAAGACGGCCTTCCACAGTGACTTGTGTTTGGGAGGTGTCTCGTCTGTGCCGGAGAGCCTGCTGCTGTCGTTCTTGGCTTTCTTCTCCTTCTTATTCTTGCGGGGCGAGAAGAGGGAACTTCGTTTCTTGCTCTTACTCGTCGTGGATCCGTCTGACGAAGCCACCGAGCTGTCCAGACTCTTGTTGCTGCTGAAGAAACGCTCAGGTAAAGTCTCCGCCTTCTTCGACTCCAGAGCTTTCACGGCTGATGTCTTCGGAGATCCGGCAGACTTTTTACTTTTTCCAGCAGCCTCTGGAGTTACACTCCAGGCCACTTTAGGCGAGGCACCCTTGTCTATGTCAGATTCTTTCATTTTGTTCAGCTGCTTGGCCATGGCATCTTTTAGAGCCTGGCTCTTGACGGACTTTTCTCTGGCCCGTATTCTCTCCTCAGCGATCTCCTTGGCCTCTGGGGAAAACTGAGTAGCCCTTTGCGTCTTAGAGGCTGGGTTGACAGGGATATTGGGTTTACCATTTTCCATTGCTAAAGCCAGATGCAGGGGCGGTCTTTCTCTGCTGGCCTTGCTGGTGGGTGGAGTATAGAACTTGTTCATGCTCGTTTCAGGTGTCCGCTCATCGTAGGTCTCCTCCACGTCATCAGCAAACGGAATCTCTTCCACTGTCTCCACAAACGACTTCCTCACCTCCTCCGGCCGTGGCTTCTTCTTTTTCTCCCTCATGACAACCACTGGAGTTGTGTCTGGAGCTGCCTGAGGTGAGGAGACTTTCCTTGGTGCGGGTTTGGGGGCAGACACAGGGCTCAGCTGGGTCCTCGGTGCAGGAACAGGACTCTTTGTTTTTGCTGGCTCTTTGGCACGATCAGGTGGAGCTTTTTCCGCTCCATTGCTCCAGGACACCTGGTGTCTTTGCTGCCGGAGCACGGCTGGAGACTGATTAGCAGGCACAGGTGGTGGTGGGCTAGAGGGCGGGGTGAGCATGGTGGAGTCGGACGTGTTGAAGCTGTCACTGTTTGCTGTCTGGCTCGTGGCCATGCTCCCATTCAACCCCAAGCCAGAGCTGCTGCTGAGGTCCCTCTTATCAGAGCCATTACTCTTGGGCTCCGCAGGAGCAATGGGCGTAATGACCTGACCCTCTAGAGTGATGTTGAGTCTGCGAATGACAGCGCGGCCAGTAAAAGCAGGCTTCTGTTCCTCAGGCACATCTGGAGTCTGCGTCTTGACAGGGGTGGAGTCCTGCGCTAGAGCCTTAACAACACTCTTCTCTAAGATCTTACTACTGCGGTCCAAAGGAGTCAGACCGAGGCTCTTTCTGATCTCAGCACTCTTTAACCAAAATTCCTCAATGATATCTGTCTTTTTAGATGGCGTTTCCTCTGATGAAGAATCTATGGACCTTGGCTGCTCAGGTGTGCCCTTGTCTGTTTTGGTCATGGGCGTCGAAGTGACTCCGGGGACAGGCTGAGTTCTGACGGGGGAGTTGGAGGTGAGGGGTGACGAGGGCTCCTGGCAGGGCAAGGGCTGAGCACAGATCGGGGAGAGGGGGTTGCCCGTGAGAGGGCAAATAGAGCGCTGAGGATAGACAGGAGATATAGGTGTGCAAGTCTCTGGCAGGGGGGTGGGCTGAGAGCGGATTGGGGAGCCAACCGGTGACCTGACAGGGGATCTGATGGGTGATCTAACAGGTGACTCTGTGGCTAGTTTGACTGGTGAGCTGACGGGCGATTTGGTGGTTGAATAAGGGGGCGGTGAGGCAGGGACAGTGACAGGAGACGCAGCAGCAGGGAGAGTAGGGGAAGGGACAGAGGAAGGATCCTGGACTGGGACAGGTGAAGGGCATGGTGGGCTCTTGACGGCTGGAGAAGGAGATGGAGTTGTCCTCTCAGGCTTCGTTTCCTCAGTTATGAACGGTTCTGGGAAAAAACGGGTGCCAGGAGACTTCACCACAATTATCTGGAAAAGAAACAGAAGATCAGGATTTGGTCAAAACTAACATCACATACCTTTAACTTGAGATGTGTGGACTCATCTCACTTGTGTTTCAGGCTCTGGAGATGGTTTGAGTGGAGAAAGAACATCTTCTCTCTGCGTGGGGCTGACACTGGATGGCACTGAATGCACAAACAATAAAAAAAGTTTTTTTTTTATTCATGTAAAAAAATATATCTGAGTCATGAATTTAGAGGATTATCAGTGGCATGTACCAGTACTGGAGGTCATTCTCAGACTTTCTGATTTCTTGTCGTCCTCAGGAAGAACTTCAGCACGCTCGGGCTCATGCAACCGAGCCTCGGCTTCAGCATCTGAAGGGATGTCATCTGGAATTTAAAGATAACATTATGTCATATTAAACTTTATTTATTTATATCCTTTTAGTGTAATGGAGTTATTTGTGAACCACAAATGCTGTGAAAGAATTGATGGACTTATTTGTGTAAGTCTGACAGCTCACCCTGATCCATCTCTGTGCCAGGCTCCATATCTGGACTATCCGCTTCTGCTTCCAGTTCCTCATCCTCACAAGGTTCTGGCATGACAAAGAAAAAGCAAAAACAAATTAGTCACCTGCTTACACATTCTGTCTTCTGTCAATAACTGTTTGGGAACCTTTTTAACTTCCAGACAACCTAACATTCACTGCACTTTTCTGACTGCAGGCTAATATTTATTTTTAAGAAGAGCACAGAGTTCCAATATCACTTAATGAAAAAATCTATCAAAACCAATTTTGAAGAGTGGAGAACAGTTATTGGGGAAAAGGAATGGTTGAAAAAGGATGAAAAGGCTTCAAAACCCAAATCCTTTTTTTCAGCTTTAAAGAAAGTTCTCTGGCAAGAAAATCATACATTAGTTTTGCATACAAATGAAATCGTGTAGAGAAGGTCTGTCAATAAATATGAACAAAGGACGGGCGCAGAGTAGCATTAGTAAAAAGGTACATGCAGTTCTCTGTTTTTTAAATAGCAAATGATTGACATTTGACCCAAGCAAAAGCAAAACCAAAATGTTAATGTCATTGGTTAAAGGACGAGCAGCAGTCCCTCGTGTACACAACAGAGACAATTTGTCTAACAAAACTAACAACAGGGAAGACACTCACAGTTAATTCATGCAATTTTGAACTAATACCACAACCTTAAAAGTCAACTCTGCTTAATGCACTCAGTAGGCCGTTGTTCAGGTGGGTGCACAGGCACATACTGACAGAACATCAGATTCTAGTGGGTCTGAGCACAAGGAGATCTTTACTAAGCTTTTAACCCAGAACTCAACTGCTGCCTACAAAATCAAATGTATGCGTAGGACTCTCATTCCATTCATTCAAGTTTTTAAACAGTTTATAAAGTACCTCAACAGCCTCATTATCTGAACTTTGTACAAGTACGAGTGCCATTAAAGGGTTAGTCCAGAAATGTGACAACAGTAAGCAATTTCCAAGTGAAATGTCTCACGCGTTAGGGTGAGAAACACTGTGGTGTTTTCTGTCTCTGGAATACAATACACTGCAGTACAATACACTATGTGAGTAAAAAGAAAATACATCTTTTAGAAGTTAGAAGGGTTGGATGAGAGTTTGGGTGAAGTGAAAGGTGACCCCAAGAGAGCAGAACTCTTGAGAGACGCAGCCTTACAGCATGCAAGCTTGTGAGTTTACTGGTCTCTGCATGTGTTTCTGCATGCTCCAGGAAAATACCAGCGATAGACAGGTAGAGTACGAGTCTAAGACGGGATGTCATGATCCCTTTTAAGTCTGTGCTACCTCCAGACATGGACTCCAACCAGACTCTCACTGCCTCGTGTCGGGTGGATGTGTGGGCAGGGGCTACGTTCAAACCAGAAGATACAGAACAACAGGGGATAGGAGGCAGGGAAATAACAGTAAAGTAAATTAGACACATGGGAAAGAACATAGCAGAACACAAAAGAACAAAGCAGAACAAACTCAAAAGAATTGACAAGGGGGTTATATGGTGCACTGGGATGTAGCTGAATTCACTCCAGAGGACCCACAGCGACTCTGAACGACAAATTAAAAGACTGAACACAAAATTAGACATTCCAAAGAGGGAAGAAAAAAAAAAAGCAATATGACAAAAATGTACAAAATCAGAGATGATTATAAACAACAGGTGGGTTAGTCGGGGGAGGTGGCTCCTCCTGTCACAGACACAGACACACAAACAGAACAGCAGCAGCCACATTGGGGAAATGAGACGCCCTGATCCTTAACCCTGTGAGGCCTACAGCTAGGGACTCGCCCAGCAAGGCCCAAATCCCAGGTGTTCAGCTCCTCTGGGTAGGTTACCTGTAGAGGAGGGCTGCGTGAGCTCAGAGGGTTGGGAGAGTTGGGAGGCTGTGGCCGCCTGACCATCCTTGTCTCCCTCAGAGTCCAGGTGTGTTCTCACCAAACCTGGAATGGCCTGGGGATCCACAGGCTGCAGGACTTGTTGGATCTGTAGGTTCCTGGCTAAATGAGGGTGTAATGTTGTGTTTTTTTGGGTTGTGGTGAAGTTGTGTGTGAACCAGGAAGTCAGAGGCAGAACAAGAGAGTTGGAGGCAGTTGTGCAGGGAAGGTAGAGAAACACAGAAGAAGAGAGGAGGGAAAAGACAAGACAAAAATGAAAGAGAGAAGGCAGAGAGACAGTTAGAATCCAGCAGCAATAAAAAAAAAAATAACCAGAAAAGCAAGGTGGAGGGAGGCTGCATGCACTAGACTGCCAAAAAGTCAAACCATAAAAGTGAGCTTGAGGACAGACCAGTTCTGCCACTCAATAACAAACCATAACTGCAGCGCCTGGGGGGGCACAAAAATCTACGACATTTATCAGATTAGTGGTTAAAGCCATAAACAAGGTTAAAATGGGAGGAAACTCACAGTAATTCTTTAAATGAAACACACCTATGAACACAAAATCCTTTAAGAACACAACTGCAACCAACAAACCAACAAATCAAAAAACAAAGAAAAAAAGTAAAAGCCACACTCTTATGGTAGAAATCCTTGAAAAAGAAACCCAAACCAGGCAGGATTATATATATATTATATATCACGCTCAAAGTTACTGCAAACACACCCACAGGCAGTTCTGCTGCTACCTTTAAATGTACCAACATCCTCTTCATCTGTGAGGTACTTCTCCAGCCAAAGACCTGACTGGAGCTCTTTATCCCAGGGGCAGTAATCTCCCTCTGCCAGCAGGGGGAGACAGAGGCCCAAAAAAAAAAAAAAAAAGCATACAGATACACACATACACGCGCACACAAACAACAAACAAACAAACACAGTGAACATAGGAGGAAGGAATGAAGAGGAGGGGATGGGAAAGGAGGAAAGAAGCAGAGGATGAGGAGAACAATGTTTGAGACAGCGACACTTCACATGAAACAGATTTTGATAAAAAAGCAAGTGGAGTTCTGAACAGGCCAAATGGAGTCTGGACAGGGTGTTAACATACATGGAAGGAGACAAACTAGAGTTCCAGTTTTCACAGGAACCACACTGAAATCACAAAGAGAGCGAAAAACTGATTTACCATCGCTTGACTCCTCATCATCTTCATCCTCCTCCTCATCTTCCTCCTCGTCCTCTTCCTCCTCATCCTCCCCGTCCCTGCTGACTGCGTCAGCCAGGGGCTCACCCTCTCCCTCCTCGCCCTGGTCGCCCCTCAGTTTGGCGTGGAGCACTACAGCCTCCTTCCAAGGAACACCGCCAAGGTCTGAGGGGCTGGTAGGTTGCTGATCCACCTCCACCTCCTCCTGATCCTGATCCTGATCCTGATCCTCTTGCTCATCCTCCTCCTCCATGTCTGACTCTGAGCTACTGTTGGAAAACAGAGGAGTTGTCCAAATTAAGTGTTAGAACAACAGACAACACAAACTGTAAGTGAAGGAACTTCAACTTGTTCCAGTTGTACAGAATGTACAACTGACTTTCCAATTTCCAAGAGTCTGACTTTCCAATTTCTTAAGTACTGGAAGAATTTGTATTTTCCTAGAAATAATCCAACAAAGGCTCCAACGATCAATATTTCAGCCAATAACAGCATGCTTTAGAAAATCAACAACAGAGCCATGTAAAAATGTGTCTCAGTCATTTTCATGCTCTTACCTGGATCCCAGATCAGCATCTGTGGCCTTGTCGAGCACACTGCTGAGGTTGTGCTCTGCCAATGTCTCCTCTGGAACCTCCTCCAGCTCCTCCTCCCTCTGCAGGGACAGACGGTAGTTCTCCAGCTCGATGCGTTCTGGAGTTCCCCGCAGACGTTTAGGTAGGCTGGGCTCTTGCAGGCCGTTGACCTCCGGCACTAGGGTCGAAGTTGGGCATAAGGTGAAGACCGCAGGTGAAATGATGACATCAGGGTGTTCAGCGGGTTGGAGGCAAGAAGGCAGAGGGGAGAGGGAGAGAGAACAAAAAAAAAACACAACTGAGAATCAAGGAGGTGCAACAATAGAGAGGAGAGGAGCAGAGAAGAACATAACCCTCTGCAGTGCAGGAGCCATGCAGGGCTGATTGAAAGGGCATGTTTAAGCCTAACTGTATTTATCTGTGTATGAAAGTTAACTGCACCAAAACAAATCCACTGTGTCACTATTTGTGAAAACTACTGGGATTATGGCTGCAAATTCTGACAATGTTTGTGTGTGAACATGTCAGACTAGACGCATCAAATCCACCACACATCCAACAAGGAAACTAGCACATCTCCATCAACAGTTTGCGTTAAGTTACTTATTCCCACTACACCAAAGCACCTTTGTATTTTAAGGACAAACTGACAAGGACACACCAATGTAAGATCTATAACTGAATTTATTGCATTAGATTATATTCCTACAGCAAATATTATCAACAAACACAAATAAGTTTTAACATTCTAAAATAGTTCTGTCGTTCTACAGTTATCGGTACATGGTTGGTGCCTTGCCTTTTTCCCATCCTGAGAAGCAAATCTTAAAACTGTTCTTCAAATTTACTTGTATATTAATTAATATGAATGAAATGGATCAAATTAAGTATTTATATTACACTTATTGTATTTCCGCTCACTGAAGCAGAGACACAGGTCAGATCAGGATAAAATGACCGACAAGTCCATAAACAATGAGTAAGTCCTACTAAAAAAAGACAGGTGCGACAATGAATGTGTGATATTTGATCCAGTAGTATACGTTATGTTGTGTGGATGAGGAATGGGTTCAAACGGATGCAATGGTTTCCATTTTTTTCTCTAAACAAGGCAACATGGGTGAAAGTGCAAGACAGCTGCGACAGAAACTCCCACTAATGAGTTCAAATCTTAGGTTTCGCCTGACAATCAAAACCAACCCTGAAATTAAAGGGTTAAAGCGACCTATGACCTAACAAATGTAATTAGCACTGTTTATGATTTTCCAATAAATTTATCTTCAATATTTAAAATAATGAGCAATTAATTGTATAATGGGAATGACTAAAATATTAGAATAGTGACAGAAAATGTTAGAATCTAATGAATAATAGAAAGATTTAAGTTTTAATTTGGCTTCCTATTATCATGTTGTCTAAAGTGATAAACTTCATCTAAACAATATCACATAAATGACCATACCTAAACCAATGTAATGATGTGTATCTTCTGGATATTGTAATTTTATTTTTCCACATCGCCCATCTTTAGTAAATCTTTAATTTTGTTAATATCTACAATTAATGTTACATAAATGTATTATATTACTTAAGTATTTATCAGTAACATATTTAATTCATAATACTATACTTGCCACACAAGGCAGCAGGCCTACGCTTACTTAAATACCAATTATCCTTTTTCTGAGAATCTTACCAGCCTGTTCTGTTAGGCTCTTTCTAGTCTTGCTGATTATATTTACCAATAATATGCAATGCACTTAATGTAGAAAAGAGCACTATATTGAGCAAACACAAGTGGGTCTCAGCAGCAGTCTGTCGGGGTGTGAGAGGTTGAGGGATGCAGGAGGGAGAGGGCAGCCGAGACGGTCTGACAAGAGGAGCGAAAATCACGAGAGAACCAATCACAGGCACTATTTCAAGCACTAGTAGAGCTCTCAGTTTTAAGCCGCTCTGATAGGAGGGGGAAAGGTAAAGCTCACAAAAGCACTAATACAGGCACTTCATCACAGTGTGGTGAGTTTCAGTAAGAGGGATACTGTAGGTGCAAAAACAGCTTACAGAGAGAAAGAAACACATCACAAAGCAGGCTCTAAAAGAAACATCACACAGGAGGAGGTAGAGCTAAAAGAGAGCAGTCACAGGCCACTAGAGGTTACAATCACAAAGGAATACAGCTTGGCTCTTCGTTAAAACACAGGCAGGCAAACAATTAACTAAGGATATTATATATATATATATATATATATATATATATATATATATATATATATATATGTATTGCTATATGCCTAATTTTAACTGATATCTTTAGTTAAGGAAGTTGGCACGTTATTGCCACATCTAACAATAAAATCAGAATAGGAAGCTGTACAAGAGAGTTAAACAAATGGTTAATATTACTGCCTGGAGAGCTGACCAGAAGGAACTCTGTCAAACTCTTTTTTTAATTTCCAAGCCAAGGAAAATAAATAAATTTAAGATGCACCATTCATTTCTAAAATGATGCTGCCAGAGCACTGCTTAACTGCCTCGGCCAATCACAAGTCATAAAATGGCTTCTGACAGAAACAGAAAGAATGCTGCATCTTGAAGAAATGAATCAATCACTGAGACGAAGAATCACAAGATTTACATGAACACTCCGCAGGCTCAGTGAGTCAATACAATCAGCTAAATCTACACAATCCCACTGACATTAGTTAGCAAAGAGTAAAAGGAAGTAAGGAAGGGGGGAAAAAAGGAGGGACAAGAGAGTCATGCTAGAGGAGGTTGAGCAGGACATTGATGGTGAAACAGCAGAAGAGGTAGATGCAGTAGGTACACAGGAAGGGAGAGTCTAGGGGGTTGTGTGCCACCTGGTGGCAGGTCCAGGAGAGTGTGCGGCGGAGGGTACGCAGCGGGACTCCCACGCCCATGGCCAGACGGCAGGGCGCAGCCACCACAGCAAGAGAGGAAAGTAGGGTACCTGAGGGCTGGAGCTCGGCCGAGGGGGCTGCCGCTGCTGCCATCGCCCTTCCGGGGGCATCCACGGTCGCCGTTGCAGTTTGGGGCACCTGGTTCTCCTGCAAAGGTAGAAAGAAAGATGTCATGATGTCAAGACACACATGCTCTCGGAAGGTCCGAGCACAGAAATATAAGGTAAAAGGATTGAAAGGTTCCCTACTGAAGAACTACTCTGATTCCCACCTAAACACTGCATTCTGAAGATAAAACAAACAATTCATTTCTTCATTATTTGCCAGCCAATCCCGATTTCCACCAGGATTTCAACCAGTAAACAAAAACAGGTACCTTAGCAGTGATTGGAGCAGGGGAGGGAGCAGGCCTCTTTCTCTGAGCATAGCCAGACAGACGGTAACAGTAGTGGGGCTTGCAGTAAAATTTCCCTGCAGGATAAAGGAGACAGACAAAGCACAAAAGCAAATAAAGTTGCATCAATAACTATATGCACTGCATATTCTGCTAATTTCACCTCATAGGCATTATCTGTTCTGCAGAAGTAGACTGTGTGTGTGTCATTTAGAATCAGAAAAATCTTCCTTTCTGTCTCACATCAGCGCGTCAGTGGGTTTCAGTCCCACAGCTAACAGCTACTCTGTCTCAATGAACAATCCGCTGCCTGTCCTCGAGCACAATGGACACCTCCCAGAGAGGAAAAATATGGAATCATGAGACTGCACTTTGCTCTGGAGTCAATGTAATATAACAGAAAATAATATATTTTAAAGCTGAGATTTACACTTTAAAGCCACAAAGTGTAGTTTCAAATTCCATGTGGGTATAGCATTCGTACAAAAATGACAATTTGGTCAAATTTGGTGCAGTCTTTGTGTTGCTTTCATTCATTTCAGTGTCTCTGGGTTGTATTCATGGGTGAATAGGAGATTGTTGTCTGCCTACCATAGTCTCCTTTTTGATACAACCACTAGAGAGCGCTAAAGTCTCATATTTTCAAATTCTACAGATGGTTGTTTTAAAATGCTTAGACAGATGTGATTTTAGCTCCTTTACACAGATTGTTTTGGTTGGCTTTTAGCCCAAGTTTCATTCTGGGCTGTGATTCAGTTCATTCTGGCGGCAGTGGATGTTTGGGAACTTTTTGACAGGTGAGATATCAATGGAACACTCGGGGAGAAAAGAAACAAATGTTATCTTAATGTGAAGTCGTACCATCCTCCACATCGAAGGCGTAGGAGGACAGTCTCAGCGTGGTGCCACAGTAGTCGCACTTGAAGCAGCTGCGATGGAAGAACTTCCCCTCTGCACTCAGCCTCTCCATCACGTACACACGCTTCCGACAGAAGAAGCACACATCGCTGCCACCGATGTTGACAGGGAACTCTTTTCTGAGGGAGCCCTGTGGGAGGATAGAGCATCGATTAGTTTTTAGAAAAAAAAATAACAAAGGAAACACATGGGAGACGGTAGGTTTAAATAGATACACAATATCCAAGGTTTAGTGGACATAAAGCCACAGGCTCACACAACAGGCCACTTTCACTGTCTGCTTGGTATAACAATACCACAAGAGAGCAAGTCAATGGTTATTGATCAGTAGGAGTGGGGATCGCTGAGCAAATGATCTACAAACACAACAGTATCCAAAACTGCAGTTACTTGTTGAGCAAACACACACTCTACAACTAAAAGGAGGTGGATTCACTGTGACAACAAGCTAACACATCAATGTGACAACAACATATCACTGTGCTGATGATATGCGGGAAAACAACACTCTCCGGCAAGGGAGGCTTTTATCTGTGCAGCCACATGCCTTCTACCCCTGGGACAACATGCTTACCAAATCCCTCTTTTCAGGTGGGGGCTTAGGATCTTCCTGAGACTCAAGCTGATTGGCTATCTGCTCAGCCAATGAGCTAACTCCACCTGTGTACATCCTTACATAGCGCTATGAACAGCATTACGGGGGAAAAAGACAAGTGAACATTAGAAAGTGATGGATGACAAAAGAAAGGTAACGTGAACATCAGAGGGAAGAGGTGGGAAGAGGACTGCGTAAGGAGACTGATCGGCATAGCGACAGGAGCTTAAACATGGACGGCGTTCACAAGCAATAGTGTCTGACACGACAAAGCAATGTTTCCATGCTTGATTGATCAAGCGTTAAGATGTGCTGGCAACCCCACCGAGCTGCAAAACCAAATATTTAATCAAAAAAACAATCTCCAAAGCTGTTAGAGTAACTTCTGCCCACAGTCAAACAAATAATTCCAGAAATTCCACTGTGCATTTGCTTGCCAACTAAGAGCATTATTGGATTTGGGACATTAGAAAAAGAGATCAACTAGCTCAGCATTTTGAAAGACAACAGCTACTGAGTGGAGCTGTGCTGCACCACTGCCCATGGTGACTACTACACATGCTTACACACTCAAGTAAAGTAGTCATGCTTTTTTTCCCCCATTCACATGCACAGACACACAGACACCCACACACACACACACACACACACACACACACAAACAGTGACACTCACAATGCATTGTTGTATTGCTAATCGAATAATAACTATGAACAAAAGAAAATGCTTGGAGGGTCCATTCAGACTGGTTTGTTATTATATGAATTCAGCAGTCTCTAGTTTAAATCCTGAATTAATCCACTTCAGGATTTAAATCTATTAAAAAACAAACAAAAAAAAGCTATTTCATCCTCTATAGGGGAAGAATTGAGGTCACATGTAATATGAGGCAAATCTAAGCCATGCAAACTATTACTGTGGATGAGATTTGAGCACGCTTTGCCGTGCTGCAGCCCCGCTGCATTGTAAAGTTGTTACTCCGCCACAGTTGGAACTGTGCTCGTCAACATGGGAATTACACTAGAGGAAGTATTTGCTGCCAAGCTGCTCTTCCAAACCACAACAACTACTAGGGACTCCCTTGGCAAAATAACTATAGGAATTATAATTGAGTCAAGCACGCCCCAGCTAAAATGTTTTGATATCTGTTCAGATAGAGACAGCCACAGTCATAAGAGGCGATTACTTTCCCACATACTTATCACAACAACCACAGTAAACAACAATCAAATCAAAAGTTTAAATGAGTTTGTTAATATCTCACAAGCAGCCAGCTTTTAAAGCAAGTCTCCGGAGAGCTTAAGTCATGTTAAGGAGCTTCTGTAATTAAGTGAGACAATGCAGAGTCCTCACAGACCAAGTGCAGGTGTAGTGTGTTAGCGTCACCACACTCCATTCCTTCCTGGCGTGAAACGACTACCTGTCTCAACGTGTCAGAGGAGGAGGGGGGAGAGTCAGGGGGAGACTGGGCTCGGGCCAGGTTCCATTGTTCCATAAAAAAACGTGAGGGCTTTTTCGCAGGCTCCACAGAAAGAACCAGAGAGGAGAGGAGTTAAAAGTTTTCCAAAATCTGAAATATAAACTATAAAGCAGCCTGTTGGTCGGCTTCATTCCCTCTGGGCTTCGATGCTAACATGCTAGCATGTATTGCTGAGTGAAAGTGTGCTACTAACTGCTATTTCTAATTTATATTCAATGTTCTTTATGTTTCTCCTTTGTATTAATATTCCTATCTCTTCACCTGAGCATATGGCAAATAAAGTTTCTGAACTCAGACATTAAAATGAGGCATGTGTTTTCCGTTAGGCGTTAAAAAGTCATTCCCTCTCCGGTTCTGTGCTAACACATTAGCTTATATGCCTACGAGAGTAAAATAGGCAGCTAGCACTACTGAGATAAACATTTCTTAGTCCTTTTTAACTAACTGTAGTTTAACTACTACTACTAAGTTTCACGCTGAGATTTCATGAACCCTTTCATTATAGTTTATATCCAGTTTTCTTTCAGGAAATAAAATGACTTTATAGTTACTAAGTTCAGCCTTGCAAGTCTCCCATTGTCCATTTAGTACATGAACAGAGAAACTGGTTTTGTGTCAAATTTCACCTTCACAAAACTATATATTATTTTATTCACTTTCTATTTAGTTTTACTGATATTACAACTTCATATTTACAAGCTGTGGTATATGTTGAGGCGCTATATGTAAGCCAGATTTGGATATCTGTTCCTAAAAAGGTGGAATTGAAAAACAAGGCAAGTCTCCCAAAAACTTGTGCTAATCAGATTTTTGTGTTAGTAGGGACATTTCACCTGTGGTCTGGCTGGCTTGCCCTTAAACTGAGAAGCAAGTTGCTCAGCCCTCTCCTGAATACTAAGCACATATAACGGCATCTGTTCATCAGAGTGCGGAGGCCTTGCTGGCTCCTGCAGAGAAATAAATGATTCAGTCACAAAAGGGATGTACAAAGAGGAAACTGGAGTTATTCTCTGCATTTTTAGTAGTTTCCAAAAACAGTCTCCTTTCCAAAATGCTTGTCATTGTGGTAAAAGCCACAGATGGTTTGTTAGCCATTGTTTTCATAACTCCAGCTGGCACCCTTTAATTCATGCAGTAATGTAAGCCTGAGTAAGAAAACTATGAAAGTGATGCCCTGCAGGCTATCTTGCAGAAATACCAAAACAACAGACTAAACTTGAGATAAATAAACACGAACTGAACAAGGTTGAGTGAGCCTTCAATTAAGGACTTTCTCTCCAAAGTACAAACTTCCATAAGTCCATATTTTTTGGTACAAGAGAGGGTGATGTGTTAAGAGTCTCAGTCCACAGCACCAAAACCTAACCTTTCTGGAAGAGTCAGGAGAGGATAGTGGTGAACCAGGACTTTCAGTCAGGCCACGGGACAAGTTCCACTGCTCTAAAAAGAAACGGGACGGCTTTTTCTTAGGCTTCAGGGAGAAAAGAGGAATGGTTGAAAGAAGGAATTAGACTTGGGGGAACGTGCATATGTGCACCAATAGCATGTTCTGTATATACAGTCTGAGGCTAAGAAATGCACCCAATAAAACTTGATGACGCAACATCGGAAACCATGTTCTCACAAAATGTCCATGCATGGTGTTCACCTTTGGTGGCCTGTCAGGTTTGCCTTTAAACCTGGAGATTAGGCGCTCAGCCCTCTCCTGTATACCGGGTATGTGAATGGGTCCTGGGTCTGTCAGGTGCAGCGGCTTCCACTCCTGCCAAGGAAGTTCTGTTGAGACTTTGATGATGATTTGGGGCGCAGCTTATACAAAGAAAAGCCTGATTTAGCTGTTTCTTCCACAAAGAAGTCTGTTTACAGCTACACCAACCGGTACCTTATTTTAAAAAATGCCAACCACAAACAACGGAGAGAACAGTGACAAGCTGAACACATATTCATGCAATCATTCATTTACTCTACCCCATAATTCAAAGGCATCTCGTAGTATTCAAGTTCTTCTTCCTCCGGACTTTTACGCAAATGCTTGAAGGCAGAAATGAGCAGATACATACCGTATTAACATTTTGGTTTGCATCGGGCATAAACAGATTCTCACAAGAGGATGTGTTGATTTTCGTGCTTATAGAACAGCTTGTTATTCAATCTCTGACAGAGCCTGACAATAAATTAAAACTACCCATGGTCCCTTGAGTCTACATTTATTTACAAGCCGTCACATCCCAACAACATACCCTTCAGCATGAAAACAAGCAGCTCCTCTGATACACAGGGAAGTAAACAAGACTGTAACCTCTCTAGGAAACTCTTTAGGGGAACAGCAGCGTTTTGTTTTTATTTACACTGCACACTACAGAAGTCAGATCTGAGGGACGTAATTAGAAAGGATGCTTTTAGAGAACAAAAAGAGGAGTAGGGGTAGATGGGTTTGCTGTGGATTTGTGGTAAAGAGATAAACACAAACACAGACAGATACAGCAGACTATGTGTCACCTCTGAGTGAAGAGAGAGCGAGGAAGTGGAGGAGGAAGAAGGGAGCAGAATGGTTTTCTTTGGGCAGCTCCGAGAGCCCGAGCTGGACTGTTGGTCTGCACCACTTCTGGCCTTGAGAGATGAGGGACAGGAACAGCACATTCAGCAGAAGATGATGAGAATGATGATGAAAATGATGAGCAATTGCTAGTAGAAGTAGAATATGCTTCATACTCCTAATTGGTGTCATTCACAGTAGGACAATACATTTTGATGCTTGCAAAATACTGAGAGGAACTTATATCTAAAAACATTTGAACACAAACTTAGTAATCCATTTGGTTAATAGAATTAGTTTGACACACGAGCACACACATATCAATACAGATACCCTAAAAAAACAGACTACACACAAAGTGTATATGGCAAAAAAAATCCACTTGGACTTACAGTCCAAGGGCTGTCAGTGATACATTTCCAAAAGGGAAAATAATTCACTGGTGCTGTAATTAAGCTTGATATAAAGTTTAAAGGGTAGTGTATATAATTTTCCCTATACTTGGCATCAAAAGAAAAAACATTAAAACTAAAATTATTAAGTAAAACAATCCTAAGGACAAGGCACGGAGAGATTTACTTTATGAAAAGAGATATACCACAATTACCACTGAATATAAGAGTGGCTTAAATAATTCCTTCCTGAACACTTTGTGTTGAGAACTACTTAGGATTATCAAGATTATTATACAATATGTCTTTACAAATGACTTTTAACTAATTTACTCAGCAGCTAAAGGCTTACTGTGCAGCGAGAGGACATTTACGAACAGCGGTGGATGAAATCCCATTAAACAGGAGAGTCTAAAGCTTTAAATCAATGTCTGTGAGACGAATGCTTAATCTAGTGACAAGACAAAAAGGATAACTTTCTAAGCATCAGCAGGAGAAAACTGGTGCTGGCACTTAACTGTGCTGACTTCGACAGAACGGTAAAGCAGGATGACAACCAGCTGGCTACAGCTGGTCTTCTACTGAGCCTGAAAGAGTGAATGAAGCGCTGGATCTTATTTCTCAGTGAGCAACATTTCAACACACCTACGAGTCGGGTTGGTGGCTAACAAAGTGGCAACAACTTAACAGTATCTACTTCCATAGAGAGGGTAGAAGCATAGAAGGGAACCTTGAACTGGAGCCGTCAGGCCACAGAAAAGTAGTAGAAAAGGTAACAAGAAAGGGAGGGAAGGTAGACATCATAGAGGAGACTATCCATTCTGTTTTCCTTACAGTATCTGGTCTGACATGTTTTTTCATTCTTCAACACATGCCCAACACTTAAACTTCAACAGGTTTGTTAGGCCTCAAGCATACACACGCTTTTCTGGTGAGAAAATATGAGAAAATAGAGCTTCGCTTGTATAGAAGAAATCTACACAGGGTACCTCGAACTGGCTAACTACTGCTAACAAAAGCCAACTGTCCATTCTTATGTTAATGTAACACTATTCTTCTTAGCTTTCATTTTGCATTTTAAACATCGTAGGAAAATATTCCTGGCCCGTTAGCATTTTATGACCATGCATTACCAGGCACTTTCATCGTAAACCCATCCTACATCTGCCTAAACAAACCCACCATTCCATGAGCTGTCACTGCCTACAAATTTGAATCTGTTTACTGCTGACTTGTTTCAATGCAGCTGCACAATTATTTGATTCACATAGTTTAAACAGTTGCTGACAAGGTTTGTGAGTTGTGAAAACATCTGAACATGCCCTTCATTTCGCTGATTGATCTGCGTGGGGCTTATTTGGCTCTCACTGGCTGTTTTCCAGAATCGTGTATTGTATAATGAGCTCAGGAAATGTTGCTGTCGTGCCTGATGAGCCTACCTTCCCTTCCCCTTGCTTCTGGATTGAAAGGCCAATCCATCTCCATCTGTACAGGGGTGAATGTGGACTTAATGGGATGTGAAAGGAGTTGGAGGACTACCAGGCCTGTGTAGCTAACCATACCTGCTCCCTTCTGTTGGGCAGTGTCTGACACTTGATCATTTCTTTGTAGCGAATGCTCAGCTGCTCTTGCTGCTGTGTGCGTCTCTGAACCAGGACAGGAGAAACCATGATGGAGTCACACTCTTGCGTGTCTTTCAGACCGACACACAAACACACACACACACACACACAAAACTGCACAGCTATTTGATTGAGGAGTTAAAAAACACTCACACAGTCTTTGTTAACTACACAACAATAGCTGTTGAGTTAATTCCTCCAACTCTCACACAACAGATCTGCAGAGTGTCTACAGAGAAGGTGAGGCTCAGACTAGTACGGGTCAACACAAAGCGGCTTTCCCCACTATGACACACCACACAGACATATGGTTAGATGCTAGGCTAGGCTAGTTGTTAGTCTCTATGGGGATAAGGTGGGGCGGCTCCACTCTTTACCTTTCTCCATGCTGGGACAGGTGCCAGGCGTACTGGCTCATTCACAGGGGTTTGGGGCGGGGAGGGGGGCAAAAGGCGGTCCAGATTGGGCAGAGATTCCCCCTTTGTGGTCAGATAACGATGAGTGACAGCGAGCGTGGCCAGAAAGAGGCCCGAATAACCATGCAAGGCATCATGAAATAGTCCATGATGGGAGGTAGAAATAAGAGAGAGAGAAAAAAACAGAAAGAAGGAAGTGAATCATGGGAGGATGGAGTCACAGTGGGTGGAAAATGTGTTCAAAACTAATAAGGAAATGACAGGCAGTCATAAGAAGATCATGCTGAGTGAGCTGTATTGCATTTATAATAGCACTTAAGAGATATTACACAGTTAATGGCATATAGAATGTACATCTATAATAGATGGAAAAGGAGGAAACACACTAATTGTGTGCATAAAATATCTTTTGTCAAGCAAAGGCTACACTATTTAGCCTTTATGAACCCTCAAGGACTTCCCAACAAACCTTCCCATTAGTTATTATTACGTTTTGTACTAACATATAAATATACTGAGCTATTTTCATAGACTTCTGATGGCCAAAACAATACACAAACAGAAGCTTTAATATAAAAAGAACATCAAATCAGATGCAGCTATTCCAGGGCACACAGTAACAAGACATTTTCTCAAACAGCAACAGTGGAGAGCTGTCTTTCTCTCCATCAACAATGCTGTCTAGTGTCCCCGTAGCCCACTCCTCCCTCCCACTCTGAGCAGCAAGCAAACCAAAGCTCGGCGAACCAATTCACCCGAGCCCAACAAGCCCGGTCAGCATTGTGAGGCCACCTACATGAACCAGGAACAATACCAAGCCTGACCAATACTAGCATTCTGGGCCCTCAGCTCATTAATACAGTGGCCTACAGCTCATCCATCATGAGACTAGAGGCCCTGTCGCACAGGCACCGAAGCTACATGTTCATTAACGTCCTCATTGTAAGGAAAAACAAACCACAATAATCTGAACTCCTGCTACCTTCAGGAAGTCTGAACATATCTTCCCTGTTGCTTCATCTTTCCTCCTTTTTCAATCCCCCCAGCTGTAAAACCTGGAGATGAACCACGCGACTTCCTCCATACCTGTCGTTTGAGTCCTGTATGCTGTGCTGGAGCGTTCTCCTCAAACTTGGCGAGCAGCTGGGTGGCCATGACCTTGACTTTGTTATGGTTCCCCACAGGGGAGGAGTCCATCTTTCTCTCCGACAGGATAGCTGGGACAGATGGCCTGTCGTCACGGCCGCTCCTGGATACGTCCTCCTGCGAGAAAGTAGAAAAACAGTAAAAAAGTTTTCTGCCCTGTTGCTCTCAGTCTGGTGGGATTAATTAGTCTGTTCTGGCTGGATTGGCTGCTCAAAACAACAATCACAAGCTCAACATCTGAGACTCTTCGCTGTCAGAACTACTCACATCTTCAGACTGGCTGGTTTTCCTTCTCTTCCCCAAACCGTCAACATCCTTCTCTTTTTTGTCCTGTTGATGACATGTCACGCGTTACTTTAATTCCTACTACAACAAAGACGTGAGGAAGTGCCATTTGTGATGTTTTAAGAAGGATCAAGAGATGCTAACAGACATTTCTCAGACACTGACCTTTGGATTTCGTTTCCTGGAAATTGCTATGCTCTGACCAAGTTTGCTGAAGAAGGAGATTGGAGACTTGGTGCTGGCTATCAGTGCTGCCTTCTCCTCAGGACTCAAGTTGTGGTTATCTAAGCAGGAAAAAAATGCAATTAAAAAAAAGCATGAAAAAGCCCTTTAAATCCTCTCAGGATTACATGTAATTATGACACTGTAAATACAGACATCTCTCAATAGCAGGCTACAGATGAAGCAGCCCTTATGCATCACCCACTCTCACCTCCAGGTGGCACTGTGTCCTTAAACATCTCATAGAACTGGCTGAGGTACATGACCATAGAGAGTTTGTCTGGCTCTACCACAGAAGACATCTCCTTGCCAGTCATGCAGGGCGAGATGCCAAATTCCCTCTCCGCCACGTCAAAAGCCAACTGGTTGTTCTTCTCCTGGTCTCGCTCGTCCAGAGAATCAAAGTCACTGAGTGCAGGAGGAAGAGGGAGAAGGAGAGAGACACCAAAAGACCAAAGTGAGAATGAGATGGGACAGGGTAGGCGTGGTGAATGTAATGACAAAGACAGAAGAACCTAACCATAAAGCAACCATCATTCATCTAAATAATCTTAAATTCAGCTGTTCCTATAAATGTAACACAAATACAGGGTACACATTCGCTGCTGAATTTAGCAGATTTTTAACATCAAATTAGGTTGTTAGACAAAGAGAACTTCATACTATTTTTGTGTATAGTGATTGAGAGGTGATTATATTTCATTTGAACCCGAAAAGTGTATTACTCTATATATATTGTGTTTGAATATTGTTATAATCCATTTTACGTCCATTAAATCCAATTAAGAGCCATTAAGGTGTACTTAAGGGACATGGTCTTAATTTGGGTATTATTAAGTACAGGCAGTGGAAACAGGATGCGAACACAACCTTGACAACAGTTGCTTATTTACAAATCCAACAAACACAGAGAAACACTCATTCATTTGGAGTCGTGTTTCTGGCCACCAAACACATTTCAGTCAGATATTCACTCTCCTTTGTGTCCCATTTTGGTCTCTACCACTTCCTGGGGGAAGTATCTGGATCTTTAGCTGGAAAAATGTTCCACCATCTAATCATTAACTTTGTCTCTCTGCTGGCGCATGGTTGGTTTTTTAAGCTTTTTCTCCCCAAAACAGCTGCCTGTTGTGGCTGGAAACAATGCCATGAGAGTGGTGGGACAAAACAGTAAAGTTGTGGGCTGTAAAACACAAACAATGAGCTGAAACATGATTTAAATCTCTGTAGGGGAACTGCAGAGTCGGGGTGGTCATATGGGTTCATCACTACGAGCAACCACTTTCACATTACATTAGTCATTTGATTCATCGTTAACAGAAAAATGTGTGTTATTGCAGCTTTGGATTTCTTTAATATTATCCAGATATCATGATTGGTGATCTCCTGATGTGCACTGTAATTTTAAAAAAATTAAATAAAAAGAACATGCACATGATTTCTTGCACACCAATTCAATGACCGTTTATCTGTCTCGTTTTGTGATGAATCAGCAAGATCTTGGGGGGGAAAAAGCAAGAACAAATCAATATTTTCTAGCTACAATTATCCAGCTTTGGGTATAATGGAAATGAACTGACACTGAGCCTGCATTAAACACTAATGAAGAAGGATTTCTCTACAGCAGGCTTCTGTACAAGCATTACTGGAAAGGCCTTTACACTGGAGCTGAAAATACCATTAACATGAGTCATCAATACATCTCAACTGCACATACAGTCAATTTAAAAGCATTAGCAGTAGAACATCACATCAGGCACAGAGTGGACGCTCCACTCAATCCCCTTTAACCGGCAGTCTTGTCCAGTACATTTGTACACATAACGCAGTTTTCCCAAAGCCCCTGCACTCCCCACCATCCCTCCTCTCCTCTCATCATCTGGCCTATCAAAGGCAGCAGAGCACAACTGCTACATTGCTTGGTAAAGGTCAGGCAGGACACAGACACTAATAGCTCATAATGTTAATTGCCACGTTTCCCCAAGAGGGTGACAAACTACATTAGACAATGTAGATGGAGACTGTGTTGTTTATAGTGTGTGTGAGGTTATGAAGAGTGTTTATGTGTTTGTGTCTATGTGTGTGTGTGGGAGGGACAGCGGGGATATGTGGAGGGCTCCCTTAAGGGACCCAAGAGGCCATTATGACTGGTAGCTGTCACCTCATTTACAGTGATATACGGCTCAAAACCGAGGTCCCAACCAGACAATAAACATCATTAGCAACCAACAAATGCACATAAACACAGCAGGCACGTCATTTCAGGCACTGCAGCGGTTTTAACCCTTTCCATCTAACAATAAAGAGATACACTTGGCAAGTGTTCACAACTTGGAAAACACATTTTCCATCTGTGTTAAAAGGTCCAGCGTGTAAGATTTAGGAGGATCTACTGGCAGAATATTCATAGGTATGTTTTCGTTAGTGGTTTATCATCTGAAAAGAAGATTAGTTGTGTTTTTGTTTCCTTAGAATGAGTGGTTTTCCCATTTATACCGAGTACATCATTGTTTCTGCACTAGCCCAGAACAAACAAACCAAACACTGGCTGTAGATGGGGCCTTTTGCGTTTGATGCGAGACGTTTTAGTTGGTTACAATCCGCTAGATGCCTCTAAATCCTACATGCTGGTCCTTTAATCTGTGCTCCTTGAGGTGTGTGTTCTGTACATATGTCTTTCCGATACTCACATGAGATCCGGTCTGTATCGGTCAATGAGGGCGCACAGGGCCAGACCACTCTTCCAAGACATAGTAAGGTCTGTTACATTAACATTCCTGTATCCCTCCGTTTGTCTCTGGCACCAGTTTAGCAGTTTACTGGATCGAGCTATGGATTCTGGTGTGGCGGAGAAGAGAAAATTATAGGCTTGATGTTAAAGCAGCAGGTTGAACAGAATCTGGATTAAACATGGAAATAAATATAAACTGTTTCTGGGCAGAACTACACATCTCTTGCTGGGCAATCTCATGGCCTTGGTCAGGCAAGGCTGAGCATAGGATCATAAAGTTCTGTCATCCATGGCCTCATCATCCATGTTAGTACCAGTCTAAACCAGCCAATGTGGAAGTATTATGAACCGTGAGAAAACTTTAACTGTCGTAAAGGAGGAAAAGGATGCAAATGAGAGGTTAGAAGAGGATGCAGAACTCACAGGAAACCTTTAAATGTTGAATATAACCAGGGTGCTCGGAATGAGAGTATCAATGACCGAGTTAGTACACACAAAAATAATGTCTGAGGCTGCAGTCAGTCCATCCACAAGTTCCACCATTCCACTACACTTTAAAACTTAGGAATTAGGTATCCCTGACAAGCAACACCATGCATTTGGACTTTGTGTTACCTTGCAACTGCTTGTCAAGCAGGCAATTGTCTAGAGTGAAAATAGTTCATCATTAAATTTCAGCAACAGTGATTGCAGCAACAATCCTACACTGATCAATCAGCACATTAAACCATGTCTTTAAAAGCAGTAGGTAAAAGATACAAACCATTCCTGGCCAACTTGGGTGTTGACGAGTTGATCACATTCTCAATTTCAATGCGCATTTCCCTGGACTCCCCCGTGTCACAGAGGTGCCTCATCTGCAACAGACACATCATTAGTACACATGTAGAATTTCAAACATACTACACAAACAAACTGTCTCTTGCCATAAAAATATGGAAGAAAAAAAAAAGTGAAAATTGTGCAATAAATCTTTTGTGTACAATGAGTCAACAATAGAGACAAAGATGGCACCTGCGATTTGCTGGCTCTCACACTCACCTGGCTGGGCTTGAGGAAGTTAAGGCTAATGTTGGGGTAACGCGTGGTAGGATCCACGCTGTAGTGACTGAAGTTCTTGCTGACGTTTTCAGGTGTGGTTTGGGGCAGTAGACGGTATATACTCTCCCTAGAGCAAAAAGGAAAAAGTGAATTATATTCCTATGTACAATATAACTAGAGTCTTATTGATGGAAGGAAAATATAGGGAGAGAAACTATGGCCAAAGATTAAGAAAACATATTAACATTGTTATCAAAAAGTCACATTCCATTGAGCCTCTTAGCCCATTAGTACTAGCAGAGGTGGGACTGATGCTTGAAATAACATACAGGCACATTTCCTAGTAAAGCACTTAGAGATAAAAGGGTGTATTTGAGGAGAGAGAACATGTGTGTGTGTTTATGTGTGGCTGTGTGTGCACGAGTGAGTGAATGTGAGCACAAGAGTAGGGCGAGTCTCAGTTTGTATGCATCAGTGTTTCCACACCCTCACCTCTCAGCTAGCACCTCAAGTGGGGTTTTTCCCTGAGCCCAGCTCTTCACCATCCAGCCTGAGTCCATGGCTGCCAGGAAACCTCGGGCGATGCCAGTGCCCATGGGCCAGAAGGGCTGGAGACAACAGCGAAGACCACATTCAATAACCAAATATGGCCACAGAAGAGGCAAGGATGTAAAAAAAACAAGATGGGTAGGAACTATGACACAAGATTTAAATAACAACTTCAACTTTGCAAGTGTAGAACAGTAAAATGTGGTCTTTAAAACCCTCCGCTGTCTCTCTTACCTCCAACAAGCTGTCACCCACGAGCGCCACCAGCAGCTGGTGACCATGGCGTTGGCGCACCATGGCGGCGTTCTCTGAAGCGTACATGCAGGTGAAGTCAAACATGGCTACGTCGGGCTGGCCGTAGTGGTTGATGGCAAAGTCCAGAGTGGGCAGCTGGTGGTTGGTGGAGAAGTCTGCAGCCTCACGGGCATAAGACAGCAGGGCAGCCTGGTCCACATTAGCCCTGGACAGTAGCAGCTCTGTGTCTGCGTAGTCCTGCATAGAGATGAGACACATGAGAGTAGAAGTGGTTTTTAGATGAAAGCTAATACAACCAGAGATGTCCAGGAAAAATGGATGAAACTTGAATAATCAGCAGCTCTGGAAGTAGTCCTCAAACTAAACCAAGCCATGATGCAAAACAAAAAAATGTGTTGGCAGCTACCACAGAACACTAAAAACACAGATATACAAGTGATGAAAAATGACAAACTGTCCTGACAGACATACGAGAACAATAGACAAAGCACATCTGTTATTCGGTTTTTAATATTATATTATAAATATTAATATAATCTCATAATCTGTCTTTCCTACAGTTTCACAGAAATGAATTGTTAAATATACCTTGTGTACTGATGTAGAACAATGGTAAAAACTGTTCTTGGATCCGTTTGTAATGCTATTGCAAGATTACTGAGAACTCAATTTCTGTGGCCTTGGTATATGATAAATAACTGGTTTTCTCAGCTTAGTTGCACATAATGGATAAAACACAAAATCCTAAAAGAACTGAAGATAGAAATCTTATGCTTTAGCCCCAATTTATAGAATAAAAGTTCCTTTGTACAAGTAGGACCCCATTTACACCTGGTATTAACATGCAATCTGTATCTAAATACATATCTTATCTGGATAAGGAAAAATAAATGTTATTACAAGGTGTTAAAGTATGCTGAATACTTTGCAGTCAGATCAACCAAACCCCATTTGGAGGCAATTTGGCTCACATTGTTATCTGATCTCAGGCTAGTATAAAAAATGCATTATTTAGAAAAAAACAACTAACCCGTACAGCAGCATTGCTACCGGTGAACCGCCAAAGTCTGTGTTTGTAAAAGGTCTGTCAGCTATGATTCTACATTTACTTCCATCATACTGCTGGTGGAATAAAAAAAGGTGTGATCACATGTTATTATTTAGATAAACTACCAAGATTTAGATTGCATGTTCATACTTGTTGGAAACGAGGGCCAAAGAGTTACACTGACATGTAAGAAAGTGTAATAAATTTTTTATGAAGGAATATGTGACATATGGGAATCATTGGCGAAACTGTACCTGAAAAAACAAAGCCTCTGAACTAAGGAACAATTTGAACTTACAACCCCTTTAAGACTCCACTGTGCTACAAAGAGGCCCAAACACTTGCAGTGGAATGAACTTTGCAGTTTACAGGTCTCTCCGACATGTAGCATCAAATCACTGCATGCTTTCAAAGTGACATGTTTTCATAGAGGGCGGTGAGAGGCACATTCTTCCATCTTCGGGCTCCCTTGCTTACCAGTGCCAGGCTGGTGGTAGTGATGGTGGGTGAGGGGAAGGGCAGGGTAGTGGAAGATATGAATGGGTTGTTTTCTGATTTGCGGTGCTGCCTTGAACTGTGTGGACTGGCCGCCCTTCTACCATCCCTTCCACCCTTCCTCTATCCCTTTCCAAGGGGCACGGCAGAGTGAGTTTCATTGCTATAAAAGGATCTGTCAAGGACTTTGTATTAAAAGGGAAATCCCACAAGTTACTATACCAGTAAATTATGACTTTTCATTAACATGTGCCTACATACTCCAAATCCCCTCTGGCTTCAGACCTCAGTGTATACCAAACCTTCATTAATGTCATCAGCTCACCATGAAAACACACACAAACTTGCACACACATGTGCAGGGACCCTTTATACCCTCTGAGAAATGTAGAATGATTGTGCTTATGTCAGGCAGCTACACTTATCTAAAGAAGAGTGATGACTGGGTTTACAAAAACGCTAATTTAAGGCCATGTAGATTCGAAAACCCACACACAATCATAGCGCACCTTCAGTTATGTTTGTACATGAAGAGAGACATGTAAAAAGGTCTTTCCGGTTTCCTGTGGAAAGTGGCCAGGGAAAGGAAACTACCGTGTATAGTGAGGACACAAACACTCAGTAAGTGTGCTTGAGTTGGCAGTTTGTTCCTGAACACTGTTGGCTTGGTCAGGCCATTAGTCACTGATAGACACTGGGCAAAAACAGAAAGAAAACAGAAGACTAAAAGAATGAAAGAGATAAAAAAGACCAGAGAGGGACAAGAAATCTGATTTTGTCAGTCTGTGCGTGCATACAGTATAGCCTTTATGTCTACTACAGAGAGATAGAATGAGATTCAACAATTGTCTCTCCAACACACACACACACACACACACACACACACACACACACACACACACACACACACACACACACACACACACACACACACACACACACACACACACACACACACACACACACCATCAAGCTGCGCTCTGGGCTTTGATCACTCACATGCAGAATAACTCCTTTCTCCAGCAGGCTCTGTTTTTTGGCAGTCATCACAAAGTAGTGCGTGTCATCCTTGTAGTAGACAATGTTTTCCAGGTCAATACCTACAAAGTCCAAGAGAGAGACGTATTGTCACATTCCAAACAATTATTATCCTTCTTGCTATAGCTGGCTGTCATGTCGTGATTAGAGGAGCAATTATACGACTCAAAGCACATAACTAAAGCCCCGGGGACATCGTCATGTCAGCAATAAACTGTGGCAGGCTTGGCATCAGACCTAATGTAAGCATTTTAATTGGATCAGCTGACAAATTCGGAAATGTCATCCGAGGAGAGATTATTTGTCCTGTTTACCTTTATTTCACATCCCTTGGTGATTTTACAATTCCCAAAAACTTTAATTTGTTACGCTGCATCCTAAGGTGTTGCTTACAGTCCTTACAGCAATGTAACAGAACAGAGCTACAAACCGACCTGTTGCTTCTCTGAGGTCTTGAAAGAACTTCTGATTGAAGATGAACGCCACCCCGCTGATCTCCTCAACCTTCGCCTCCGCGGATGTGTTCCTGTTGATGAAGTTAGCGGTGATGGCAATGGCAAGCTTGCCCCGGAACTCCTTACGCCGAAACCCTGGGGCAAGGATTAGGATGCAGAACTCAAGATTAATCAGCGCACACAGACCTGTACAGCGACACGGTAAATCCTCAAAAACAAAAGGAACAATATTTTCAACCTCGTTTGCTTTTACAACGTATCAAACCTGCCAAATGCATAATGTACTCTATAAATGCAACCAGATGTTCTGTATCATGACAACATAAACAGATTTCTACTTTTTCAAACTGTGTGATTGTCGTTCATTGTTATCCCAGAGGGAGCCTGCTGCTTCCCTTCACTGATGCAGCAGTCTGTAGTACAGAGAGGGGTCATGGTACCCTACTCCACAGGGGTTCCCTTTGCCAGTGTGGCTGTGTGTGAGGCCTCAACACTCACAGAGGAAACAGACAGCCAATTCAACAATTCCTATTCTGCTCCGCTGGGAGAGCAGCAGAAATAGTCTTTGAACGCATCAGCTAGACACAAACAAAAACATGCTCACACAGATGTACACAAATGCTCATTCATACGTGAGGAACGGCGTGAGGTCAGGCACCCGACCACAGCTGTACACAAGTGAGATCATAATCATTCTGAATAACCTCCAAGTCCGCTTCGAAAAAAAACAAATAGTGCCGTTCATGCTTCGCCTTGTTTAGTCAAGGGGAAACTGCATTACTAATGCATACTCCCTCTGAGTGCATGAGGACTTGCCTGGTAGTGTGTTTCTCCTTCCGTCTGCTCCAATGATGACATCAAACTCCAGCTCGTTGACAGGGTGTGTCCTGGGGAGGACCTCAGCCCTCCAACCTATCTCTAAGAAAACACAGCATGTATAATCAGACAGAAATGCATCAAAAGAGCCAGTTTAGAGCCGCTGACTGATTGCTCTCAGTCTCCATTCATTTTTCTTTGGCTTGTCTGGCAGCAGTTTGATTCACTTACTTTCGGTTTCTTGATCTTCCGGGGGCTCAATAAGACCCTTGAACTCTACGTTGACATGGATCTCAATGCCCAGCAGGAGAGACATTTTGAGCAGCATTAGCTGAAGCTGACGGATACCTACAATACAGAGAAGGGAGGAACATCCAAATGACATCAGAACTACAAAACCCACAAACGCATTAAATCACTTCCTACAGGCAAATTTCATAAGACTATATTAGTAGTGTAAGGACTCGAGAGCAAAATGTATCACATATACTCACTGATATGATCGATTGCACCCGCACAGAACTTCCCATAAAACTTCTTGGCCCCGAGGCCCCTGAGGTCCTGGATGGTGAAGGGCCAGAGGTGCAGCACATTGTTCCTCGAGAAGGCATCTCTCTTCTCCAGCAGCACCACTTTGGCCCCCAGGAAGGCCAGCTCGATGGCTGTACGTAAGCCACATGGTCCCGCACCAATGATCAGACACTAAATACAGATGCAAATGTTATAGACAAGAAGAAGAAGAAAGATATCAACAATACACATGGAAGTCCAGACAACAGAGTCTCTGCCCATCTTTTGCTGTAGACTGCACCTTGACAAAGCAAGCCAACACTTCCATCTCTCTTATTAAAAAAAGAACACCCGTACCTATTATACTGCTTTCAGTTGTATATTTGGGAGGGTTGCATTTCTAATATTTTGATAACAGCTAGCTCTTGTTCCATTTGAGTTTAAATGCCATCGTCATCGTCATCCCAAAGGGCATTTTTATTAGTTGATTAACTTAAGTGAACTTAAAGCTATTTATAAATCACAGTTCAAAGTTCATAGTTCACTAGCTGTCAATTATACTTTTCAACAAAATAATACAGCCGGTTTATCCCTTATTCTGGGGTCAGCTACATATACACTGCAAACGGGAGGAGGTGACGAATCTAATTTGTTAGGTGATTTGAAGTCTCCTCAACAATAATGAAAAAGTGTCCCTGCAGTGTCCTTTCATATAAAGCAATCATACCCCGGTCTGCCTGGTAAACACGAGCATCACATTACATGATTCCTTGACATCAAGGATCAAATTTTAGCTCCCACTGAACTGAATCCACCGACTCTTAAATGAATCATGCAGTTTGTAATGATCCAGGCCCACCTTTGAGTTGGCACAGGCACGCCCCTTCTTGTACTCCTTCTGGCAGGCCCTCTTGTCTAACTTTGCCCAGAGCGCCTTGGCCTTCCAGTAGTTGAGCTTGGACTTGAGCTTATGATAGAAGATCCTGGAATCGGTGGGCTTTACTTCCAGGTGGTCACACAGCTCCTGGAAGGCCTTGAGCGTGCCCTTGCAGGTGGTCGCCTGGACAAATTTGTCGAACAGAACGTGGGACCGGTTCACCCCATCTCCTCCAGTTGCACCGGCACCTCCATCCCCCATGGTCCAGACTCACACAGGGCTGTCAGGGCCCTTCACCCCCAAGGCAGGGGTCTCTGGGTCCAGCCCCAGCCCTGGAACACGCTCTCTCTGGTGGGGGACTCTTAACTCCCAGCCTCAGACATCTTCATTCTGTCAGGGAGAGAAATAAAACTCGGTAAATTACAGAAAATATTTCAACCATCTGCTACAAGCTTTAGGGCTGTATAAAACATAACCACGGGTCATTATTGGGCAGAAAAGCAAACTAGCATGATTACAGCTTTCAAATGCTTGAATGACAACAACATCCAATCCGAACATAAACAAAAACTTTACTTAGATGCAAGGACCCTAGTAGAGAGATTGTCTTCAGGCAACCTCTCAGTACAATGGGTCCTGATATTCTCTATCCAGAGAATCATATGTATGACGGCTGGTCAGACAAGCAATCAAAGCAGCAATTAAGAATGAAGACCAGGTTACTCGAGGTCCTGCCGGCATTCTTCTGCAGCGACATGACCTAAAACAACCTCTTATCTATCTAGGCATGAGTCTGCCGGACACAGGAAGGGCACTGAACCCACACAAAGGCCACACAGGAAACTCGCAGGGCAAGTGTGCAGATATGTCTGTGTGGCACAAATAACTCCAGACAGACTCCAGACACAGGATATAGCTCGTTCATCCTAAAACACTATGAAACAAAACACAATCTTTGAAACAGTGTTCAAAAAGAAGCCGGTACCGAGCAGTTTATCTACTGTACGTGCCCTCTGTTTATTCTATAGGTTACTGCGTAAATACTGAGTGAGAGTCGACTTCTGCTGTCGTTTTACCTGCTATGACTTGCAGCAGTGCAACGTTATAGTGTTCTGCCTTTTCAACCCCAGGGGGACGAGACCATTCGTGTTGTTTGCCGTCTGTGGCTCAGCTGTCATGACTGGAATGTCTTAACTGTATTGAGGAGCGCAGGCAGCCTTTAAAGGTCAGCGTTACTCAGCATTAACGCAACTGTATAAAAGAAACAGAGAAAAAGAGGACGAAAGAAATGCAAAGCGCTATGACAAAAGTGATAATGACGACTGAAAATAACCTCCTTGTTTGACGCAGTCTATTTGCTGAGTAATACGTTCTCAGGCGAGCGGTGCCTCTGGTTTGCATTCTCCTTGGGGCAACGATGCAGAAACTTACTTTTCTTGTTAAGAGCTTCACAATGTCTCACCAAACAGGATAACTCTCACTCAACACGAAGAAAGACTATCCCAAGAATTAGCGTAGTTTGGAAAAGAAACAACATTGAATGAATATATATTGTATATGAATACAGCCAGGAGACTGTTGGCTAAGCTTAGCACAGACTAGAAACAAGAGAGAGAGAGTGGGTAGGAGGTGGGAAGACCCTGTCCAAAAGTAATAAAATCTGCCGGTCAGTACCTCTAAAGCTCACTAATAATATGTTATTATCTCAGTTTTTATACAGATTAAACAAACAACATATAGCAAGCTAATTAGTGAGTTTTCGAGATGCTGGTAGGTAGGTTTTGTTACCTTTGGACAGAGCCGGTTCAGCCGTTTCCCTCAGTTTTCAGTCTTTACACGAAACTAGGCTAAGCCAAGATAAGCTTCATATTTACCATACAGACATATGAGTCAATCTTCTCAACTAACGCTTTGCAAGAAATGTGGATTAGTGTGTTTCCTAAAATGTCAACCTACTCCTTTAAGGTTATATAATATGTTTGTGGAAAAAAAGCTCATCTGTTAAGCCAATGTCAAGACGTTCATCAATACATTTTCATTTGCAGTACGGATTATTTTAAAGACATCATAGTCTCACTCATCGAGAAACACATCGTCAGTAATTGTGACGTTAAACATTTGTGTTTGGGACCTACTCTTTTGCTCTTAGGGGCAGAGTCCCCGCTCAGGTGAAGAAAGGACTCAGTGAAATCCCGAGGAACACACATGAATATTTATACTGTCAGCCACTTTCTCTGTCACAGGTTGAGCTTTGTACTACACTGTCCAGGATGTTGAGCTAGTTCATGAAAACCAATGTAGTCCCAGTCCCAGGGGCAACACATGATGAAAGGGAGGCAGGTACAGAGGTCAGCTGGCCTCCTTTATACACTCTGCCAACTCCTAACTGCAGTGAAAACAGCAGGCTCTGGGTCTGGCTCGGCCTCAGTCAGCCAGGATCAGGCCTGAACGGTGAAGTGCCAGCACAGATGGAAAAGGCCTATTCCAACTTCCAACCATCACTTCCTCTATGAGTGAGCGTGCATGGCTTGACTGTCACCTCAAAAAATGATTGCAAAAAAAACACAAGCTGTGAGGTCCATCTGAACCGACAGAAGTTGTGGTCTGCGGTTATCTATCTGCACACACACACACTACACATCTGTACTCGATAAATCATCCGTGACAGACCCCCACTCGTAGTATCGTTTTAGTAGCTTATATGCAAAATACTGCCAAGCACTAGACCCTTTGTATGACATACAGTCAAATATCCAAACAGGCATCCTCTGATCGATTGGATGTCATAGGAAACAGCCAACGTTCATTACAAATGACTCAGTCGATGGTCCTTAATTCGCTTGTCAATAATAATGACCGGGGGATCGAAAACGGGGGAAGGCAAATACATAAACATCGCTCAGATAGTTAGCAGGCATCTGAAGCCTGTTCCTGTTTATCTACACAAGGAATCAGGATGCTGCGGTTGACTGCAGAGCAGACTGAGAGATTCAGTCAGGCTTACAGTTTATTTTGCGTGTAGAGAGTGCTGGGGGGCCTGTGATAGCATGCTGTGAATAAACAGAGATAAAAGTCAGTTTTGAGGTTATTTTCTACACAGAAAGGGTCCACTGTAGTGTTAGAACAATCCATGAGCATTAAGGTGCAACAAGTGTAGCATCTGATGAATTAGTAAGGCGACTACAATGATGTCTTTTAGTTGGTAATGTTTGTCTATGTGTATCTCTCTGTCTTTAATTGGTGTGAAATCAGCTGATACATTAAAATCCAATCACCCCAAAAAGCCTCACAGGAGCATCTTAAAATAAAACAAAAGTCTGCAACGTCTGCTCTGCATTCTTTCCCTCTGCTCTTTGACCCTACTGATGGTTTTCAACTTCATGACCGAAGACAAGCAAAGAGATCGCAATTCATCAGCACTGAGTTATGAGGCGAAGATGAGGAAAGCAGGTCATCGCAAACTCCTCCTTTAAATGAAACCACAGTTAAAAAGAAGACACATCAAACAGAGCAGGAACTTTGGAGGATGGGTCAGATGCGCAATAATTCATCTAATGGTGAAGTCAAATCTTTTTTGCGAGAACTACCTTCAGTCTCTTGCTACGCTGCTCTCCCCATTCATAGCAGACACAAAAGTGATTCCCTCTGTGGGCTTTTCCTTTTCCTGTAAAGACACAGAGTTTATGGCGTCACGTAAAGAGCCAAGCACGGGAGATGAGAATATAATATAACCTTTATGACACACATCTGAGAAAGCTAGCAGTAAACATCTAACGCACTTTGAGGTCTTTGAAGGAAACGAGGGTGCAACTACCGACTGACATGCTGTGTCACAGTATGTTTGCGTGAGATGTCAAAAGATGGTGCAGCTCAGGCAGGTCCGCTGTGACGTGCTACACCTTGACCCAGCTTAATGACAACAATAAACCTGGCCTATAATTTGAATAATAGCAGCCAGCCCATAGGTTGCACCGTGGGTTTCAGAGAGAGGCAGAGTGGTGCCGGAGAGATCAAACACAAGACGGATTATCACACGGACATTATCAGAGCTACAGTAGATTATTAGATTACCAGAGTAGCAACGTGACATTAATAGCATCAAGTAATGGGAGAAATGTTTATGAAATATATGACTATTTACTATTTTCTTCTCCTAAAGTAAAATTCCAGCAAAGCTTTTTTAAGTGGATCATACAAAGAAGACAAATCAAAATCAGCTCTGGTTCAGTGCACGCGCCAAATCTCCTGACATCTGGATGAGCTGCAGGAGTTCACACGTTCACAGAATTCACACAAGAATTACACACATGCATGCAAAGCCTTACACACACACAGCAACCCACCCCCCCCCCCAACAACACACACACACACACACACACACACACACACACACACACACACACACACACACACACACACACACACACACACACACACACACACACACACACACACGCCTTTGCTTTTTACTGGTTGTGTTACATCATACTCAAATCTAAAAATAGATCCAGAGATTAGGCCACTAGGCTACATGTTTGACAGCATTGCTTTTAGGTCCTATAAACACTCTTACTACCAGTAGTGATAAATACCAGACTATAAATAAGAACTTAAGAAATAATAACGTAGTGGCTTGCATGTTTTGCTTTTGTTGTTTTTTTGGATAGTTTGGTCACAGTGAGAAAAACAATCTGGGATCCCACATTGTGCCATGTTTTTATTTCGCCTGCATCCAATTTAATTTCCATTCCACGATCAAAGTCAGACTTTTAAAAAAAAATACATAAAAAGGAACAGAGAATAGACAATAATATGGTGTCATTTTCTCTGTCAATATAACAGAGCAGAGAATACCAAGGATAATCTGTGTTTGGTGTAGTGCTACTCTTACTACAAAAAAAAAAAAAAAAATCAGAAGCTTTGAGGTAAACAAGTTGGAATGAAAGCATGGGATGACTGCAAGCTTGTGTCTGTGTCAGTGTGTATCCTGAAATAGCATTTTGTCTTCGTCAGTCTCCAGCTCAGGGATGACTGATGCTCAGAGGACACCCTGGAGATGAAAGTAATATCCCGTCTCCTCCTCTCATCCATCAGGAGACTTGGCAGGGAGCAGCAGAGAGTGCAGGATGCAATGTGATATCGTTACAATAACGGATTTACAAGCAGAACATTTAGTCCATCGAACATGAAGCAGACCACACCCGATTCGCCAGTTCGAAAAAACCTGTAATAATGGCTGGATTCCACTGTTTCTTCCTGTTTGCCGTAAAACAACTGCGGTTTTGGTCTTTGTTCTTGACAGTTAATGATCACCTTAACATCTCTCTTGTACTCATTATGACAGTCACTGGAGATGTCTTTATTACAGTTTGACTATTACGGTAATTACA